TATCGCTCGGCTGTAGAGAACTTCTCTTTAGCTCGATCGGTTGAGCGTAAGACTAGTAAACCAGAGGTCCCGGGTTCGATCCCATGCAGTATAATGTGACTGGGAAGAATGCCGTGCTGGGTGCATTTGGCATGGTGTTTTAGTGAGATAGCACTATGAAGTCAGCATCAGATCCGCGCTATCACAAGGATTCAAGTAAACAAATATACACTGTCTCTGTTACACATACACGCATGCACGCATGCGCAACACACATTGAGGCACGTCAAATGATCTTAACTGTTGATAAAACGTTAAACAAAATAAAAACAAACCAACCAAACTAAATGCTAGAGGAGGAATTGTATTCCGTCTTTGCGTATTGCAGAGTTATCTGCTCTTGAGAGCAGGTATTGATTGTTACGTCATTTGTTTGTGAGAGTAACGTCATCAATTTTTGAGAAAACGACGTAATTTTCTCACACAAACCAATGACGTAACAATCAATACCGGCTCACAAGAGAAGATAACTCTGCAATATGCAAAGACGGAATTACCGCACCTTTAATACCCACACTGGTATAAGTCAATGAGGTCATACTTGTCATAAAACTACTCCTGATTTAAGCTTCCTATATCCATACCTTTTTATATTAATCTTGTTTTTAAATCCCAAGCGGGGGCCGACGCTTATGCTAAATCTCCATTAGCGCTGACCCTACCCTTGACTAACAAATATTCTATCTCAATATAAAAACGTTAATTCTGACATAAGAAGATTAACTGAGAAAAATGTAAGCCGAAATTAACATATTAAGTCATTATTGTAATCCTGATAAAACACCGATAGATTAATGAATTCCACGAAATAGAACTATGCAAAAGCGTCAAAGGGAGATAAATCCGTATAACCCAAAGCATAACAAAATAGACCACCTATCCAAACATCGTCAACAGGTGTTAGACATTCTACTTCTGTACAACAATATGAGAACCACACTTATCAAATATGTGTACTTTACATAATATCTGGTTAAGTTCCTTATTTAATACTTGTTATACTCGGGTCGATACTACAGTGCATTGGCCACAAACTGATTTTTGTAAGAAATATTCTGGTGTATAACAGGAGGTCTTTAGAAGATGATGATGATGATGATGATGATGACAGAGAAAAACTAGCATGTGTGTATGTGCATATGAATATGTACAAAGGACATGTTTATATATTATGTAAAATCTCTGAAAAATAAACAATTACAAAAGAATGTCTTTAAAATTTGGATCTAATAGACAATTTGTCTTGGATGAAGAAAATTCCTTTCTTTCTCAGGACAGCCATTGGTGGATTTATCTTTCATCCACATCTTGATTTGTGATTAATGTTATTTAATGAAATAACGAAGTAACACCACTTGGAAGCTGCCATTGTATTTAGTATGAAAATTGTTAATGGCATCTACCTTGAATGAGAAAAGCAATTTGATTTGTGCATTGATGCACTGCTAAAACATAGTAGGAATAGCATTTATAGTATATTCCGTCTTTGCGTATTGCAGAGTTATCTTCTCTTGGGAGCAGGTATTGATTGTTACGTCATTGGTTTGTGTGAGAAAATTACGTCGTTTTCTCAAAAATTGATGACGTTACTCTCACAAACAAGTGACGTAACAATCAATACCTGCTCCCAAGAGAAGATAACTCTGCAATATGCAAAGACGGGATACTTGAGGTGTGACAAGTTATTCAGATTAATTTATTGAACAATGCCATTTTAATCTTTGCCATTCAAAATAATTGCAGTGAAATATTATTTCTGAGAATAATTCGCCATATCTTGTATAAAATGAAATTCAATCAAATTCCATCAAATCAAATGAAGACCTTGTCAGTTACTACCATATTAGATAAATCTCGTTGATGGTGTGAAATATGGTGTAACTGTTGGAGATTTACATACTCTATCAAAGATGAAGACAAAGTGTGACCTGCTGCTTTGCTGACTGTCTTCTAATTGACTTGTGAATTAAACTGTGACAAGTTAATTTCAAATTCGCACACATAACAAATGGAAGACCATTAAGTTCACTTCAGAGCAAGTATTGAAATGAAGTTGAATTATCTAAATAATAGTTTTCAAAAGAAAATCAAATGTCAAAATGACCACTCAAATTATTAAAAATACTTTAGAAATACATATATATTTTCGCAAACTTGCATCCTCACTTTTCAAAATTTGCACACCATCAAATCATATCATTGATGCATCATTAGATTATCACCATGATGACATCTAGTTTCCTCTGACTCGTACTTATATACTTAGATATTTGCAAATAGATATGGGTCATCCGTGGTAGCACGGACGTATACTAAATAGGGTATCTCAACTGCGACAAATTTCACTTTCCCGTTAACACCTAATCATATGCTCGTTTTGTCATCCGCACGCAATAGTACTGCTCACTCTTGGGCTTTGTCTGTTGAAGTCGTTCAAAAACGCTGCATGTATCGATAGGTAAGCTTATGAAAAATAAAAAAAAGCCGTTTGTCTGATTACATTGATGTATTCCGCACTTTTCGTCGTCAATGCAAGCAATCCATAGTTCAGGCCTACCAGGCCAAGGGGTCACGCTTGTAAAATTATGATATTGCGAATGATAATTGGTGAACATTGTCCCAGGCAAATACGTCTTCAATCGCCCCGAGTGAGTTTAACCACTTGACCTCTGACCCAAGATGGCGGCGGGAACTTCAGAATTAAGTTGACTGGCACAATTTCTAAATTTTTGACTTGCACAAATTCACGATTGACAGTGACGATCATAATAGATGTTATAACTCCGTATTTACATACATGAATTTGGTTGTCTGTACAGGATCCCGAACAGGTGTGGTCGTCCGCTTTGTACCTGATGTAAGACCTAAATAACCACGGACTTAGATAATCTAATTCCGTGGTAACACGTAGTAACGCTATTGTGCAATACTGACCTGACACATTTTATTTTTTCCGGAATATTTATTATTATGTTGGAATACTTTTTGTATGACATGAACATATTTTTTGTATGACATGAACATATTTGAGTTTGGTATATTGAGTCACATGGACCTAAGTTACATCACGGACTTAGATCTAATCTAATTCCGTGGTTACATGTACATCTATGTTTGGATCTGAACTCAGGTGTTTAGAGTAATTTTACACGTTTTAAGTGTTTCGTTAAATTTTCGGTAAAAAAATGTCACCCCGAATGATGAAAATTCGTTATTTATCTTCTTTGAGGCAGAGACGTTTATCTACGTCTCTGATCGAGGTGACATTTTTACCGAAAATTGATCTAAATCTCTCAATAAAACGTGTAAAATTACTCTAAACACCCTAGCTTAGGTCCAGATATAGCAGTATAGGTCCCTGTGTATTAAGTTTGTTACAGGACACGTAATAATATCAGTTGACGTGTATACATCTCAACGCAACGGGACCTCAAATGACTATATTTTTTATTTCATGATGACTAAATTATATTTCTGGATAAACATGATATTATCAGTTGACATGTATCTTGAAAAGACCTCAACTGACTTTTTTTATGATGACTAGAATATTTTTTTACTGACTTATCCTGTGTTGATGGGTCGTTAAACACTGAGAATGATAATTATTTTAAATTGCCTCCATCCCCTGCTACAATTGTACCTAGCTATCCCCTCTATCTTCCTACTGTCCAGTCACCATCATCTATATCAATTAAATAGCATATAGCTACTATAGCTACCGTAACAACATATATTATTAAAAATGCATAATGCAGATATTTTATTATACATTATGTTGTATTATGGAGAGCACTGTTATAACTTATAAAAACATTGCTGTCCGATGCTTTTGATCAATAACGCCAAATAAACAATGTTTCTATTTTTTGTTTCCAGTTACCCTTGTAGACTACCTACCCTTTCAGTCATAGTTTAAATATTCGTGTCTGGCATATCCTAAGCTTTTTTGTTAATTTTTAAGAAAGCACTGTTAAAAGTCAATATTTTTCACTTATATCACGGACTTAGATAGCAATCTTATTCCGTGCTTATATTAAAAAGATTATTTTTTTTACATATCTAGCCTGTTTTTAAGACATTATTGTTTGAGCGTATCAATGAAATCTTGTAAAAAATATCATCTTAATTTACCGACTTATTAATCCCCATACATGAGTATTAATTAGTAAAATTTAATTATCTTTTTTTTAGACCTTCCCTTGATTTTATTGATTAAATATCCGCCGATTCCTTTTCTTATACAATGCTTCAGTATAATGCATCTCCACGTGCATATTGACCTGGTTTAAATATCATCTGATCACTAAACATCAGTTTCTAAACTATGTCATTTTAGAATTGCTTTAAAGATATCGGTGCATAATTACTCTTAAAGCTGCAAATGTACAAAACAAATCCTACCTGCCAGCAGACGTACCGCTGTCAGCTTTTATTGGTATTTATAGATTGCACTGTTGATTAGCCTACTTAAATGAATTCATCTACATGCCCGACATATTTTCCAGACATAGACTCGATCTGCCCGGGTCACTTTGGTTTTTATACCATAAACATTTCCGTTCCCTTTTGTTGTATAACTGTGGAAAATCTCCTCTCTTTAATTATTCTCAAGGTCGACCAGCTGACTGGCTCACGGTTTCTTACTCGTAAATGAAGCATATTGATTTGATATTATGACATTTTTTTTAAACTGCTCAAAATAAGTAATCTGATCTAATTTTGAGAGAGTAATCAATAATTTCCTTCGTATCTTTGTGTGTCTTTTTAATTGTTTTCTGTTATGAAACAGCTGTGCATAGCGTACATCTGACCCAAATATAGACCAGGGGAAAATCCTCGTCGTTGAAACCATGTTGTCAGCGCGTGTTAGGTATTCTTGCAAACCCGGGAATTATCCATTGACCAATCAAATCACTCAAAATTGCCCCCGACGCCAGGCAGCCAATCAAATCGAACCAGTCTCGCGAACGCTTATAAATTTCCTGTAAACCTCCGCTACTTCCTCACTCACATCAAAGTCGCTCGCCAGTGCAGATTATTATAAAACCTGACTTATTCAACGAATATTTGTTAACATGGAGGCCCCAAGAGTCATAAACTTTTCAGCTGGACCAGCGAAATTGCCAGAATCGGTAAGTTTTTGATCGTCTGTCACAATGTTGTGACTCGATGTCTGGCCCTGGGGATTTCCCCACACCGGCAAACGTCAAAAATAATTTAACCGGTGACTTTAAAGAATGTTGTTGAATAATTTGCTACAATTGTCGTCGGATAAATGCATTTTTCATACATTGTTTGATGCGTTTAATTTCATGTCGACTTTCTTTCATTTTGAACGAGAAAAATCGCATCACGCGTGCTAATCACCGGTTTCACATGGTAGGCTATATTAAGGCTGATGAATATTCATTAGGTCACGATCAATGCAGCCGGTTGCGCTGGATTGGGTCTTTGCATAAATTCGACAGTCAAGATAAATGTAAAATGATTTAAATCAAAGACAAAGACACCAGCTTCTTCCTGAAATTTCTATCATTTCCACATTTATTTCATGAAGTGTCGGAAAGGATTTTAGGTCGACAGGGAAATATGCGGAGACCCTTCTAACGTAAAAAAAAACATTGTCAGCTTAACAAATTGGGTGTTAATCGATCTCCAATGAAATACTAGTCAAATTTCGTTTTTGTTATAATTAATGTTTCTATTTTCTTACTGTAATCTTGTAGAAATTCTAGAATAAATTGGCAAATTTATTTAAGATGCCGTGTGTTTACTGCCACGACACAGTCAGCTGTTCACGGTGATAAGGTCGCGGCTGTCGTGACGCATGCCTCCTTTCATAACTGTATTGAGTTGTTGTTGTTGACAACGTCTGGTGATGTTGTACACACTGAACACCTCTAATATTTTTAGGACATATGCATTATTAGAAAACTAAATTAGGTCACAAATTGTTTCAGCATCTGATCCAATTTTCAATCGGTTCAATTTAAAAATTAAATAGACTCTGAACAACTTCAATCAAAGTATGTCATTGGAGAAATTAACCTTAAATTATTAATATTTGCAGTTGAGTATAATCAAGTATTTTTACCAGATAGTTGTAAGGATCGAAACATGGTCCTATTAAAATCACTTGTCGAAATATGTGAAGTTGGCACCTGTACTTGTGTTCAGAGACGTATAATATTATTAAATGTAATACATGCAAATATGTCTCTGATATGATCCTCAGTGAGTTTAAATTTTAGCCAATACATTAGTTATTCAATCTGAATATATGCAATTAATACATGGTAAAGATGAGTACCGGGAATCCCGAAGGGCCAGTGACCTTATTCAGTAGGCCCCCTACTATTTGTAGTGTTGGTCTCTTTGCCTGTGGCCCCTGTCAGGTTTAGAAATTAAGTTGTTATGTCAGTCCCTTTACATTTGAGGCTTGGTTGGTAAATTTATTTGTGTAACGAATGCCTCTTTATCTGTTGATTTTGGGTTTAGAATGGCCACCCCTTCACCATTCTGGTCGGGGTTTGAAACTTTATTGGTAGCATTGGTCCTTACCTTTGTGGGGCCTGATTTATATTATTTCTAAAAAATGAAACTCATATGATGTATACTTTCCAAAGGTAGTAATATATAATTTTTCAAACTTAAAATATTCTTGCGACAACCACTATAGGTGTCCTCACATTTAACTCTTTGGAAAAACCTTCTAGAAGGGTTAACATTTTTGGCTAGGTGTTATTTTCTTTGGTCAAACTTTTAACTCATTCACCCCTGAAGACACATTTAAACTCTTCCAATTAAAATCTTGGAATAGTTCATTATGCAACTTCAGGGAAGAATTATTTAATTATGATGTTGAGTAATGTGATGCTTTGCAACGTCATCTTCTACACATGTATTGCGACGTCATGTTCATAGTTTGTGGTATTTGTTTCCGCAATCGGATACAGGAATAATGTATGAACCCCCAAGAGAAACATGTTTTTTTTAGATAAAATATCTAAACATTGTTGGAGAAAAAGTTCCACAACCTTGTGATAGTTGATTGTCATGATTCTCTTACTCTCATTAGTTAATTCTCAAATTGTCTATCAAGACACTTTAATTGGTACACCTTGCGCAAGGTCTTAAACTCTTTATGCAATTTGAAAATTAACTAACTCGAGTTAGAAAAACATGATAACCAACTCTCAATCGTTAGGGAACCTTTGTTAATAGAAGTCTTTATCACTTAATTGGTTGATCTTAGCAGTAACTATCGTTTTTATAAAAGTGTTGAGATGGGGCATCAAGCAAAATTAAATTAAAATAAAGAGGAGAAAGTAAGGATTTCGGACTACAAACCAAAAAGAGAGTAATATCATCTAATTTAATATTTTCTGACACTTAACAGTTGGTTATAAGCAACTCCGAACAGTTTGGCGGTTGAAATAAAAAAAAATCCCTCCGTGTGACCTATTGACTTTTTGGAAGGAATATTTCTAACACTCGTGGAATGATCTCAGTATTTCTTTTATTAACCTTGCTCTGTTAGCGTGCATTATGTAGAATACACAGTTCTAACCTGTACTTTTCCACAAGCCGATGTGAGCGTGGCTGCAGCTATATTTAGATCTATATACCTCAGTACCTGTGAGGTTTATTTATAGACTTGAACCAGCTGATGTTTATAATACACATACTTAGGAGTTTTTCCATTATGTAGGTCATACAACAGCTGATTCCACATAACAAGTCATGAAACAAATTATGCATATGACTGGCTAGGTCACTGGGTCTTTCACATATATATGCCTGCTAGGTCACACTGGGTCAACATATAGCTGGCCTGACAAATTCCTTGTATTCAGTCAACACATTGATTTTGCTCAATCATAGGGACACGCCTAGTTAAATTTGATTTTGAGTGAAGTAGAAAAATAAAATATAATATATAAATACCATAAAAAAAAAATATACATTGAATATATAAATATAAAGTGTCCTATTCTTTCATGTCGTAGAATTAAATTGTTTCAAAAATTATTTATACATGTATACGCATATATATATATGACCCATGATCATATTCAGGATATATGCACCTCAAATATCAGTGTTTTTGTTAACAACAGCCTGTTCCTTTATGAATTTGGAAAATATAGCATTATTTTTATTGAAATTGGTAATATATTCTTAATTTTTTAGTCATTTTGGGAAAATAGTCAAAATACAGCTCTTTTTAGCTAGGGGAAACAGTCTGAATTCGGGGAAACAGCCTGTATTTGGTTGTAAAACTGAGCAAAACAAATCACCGAGTATGAACTAATGAATAATTTTTATTATTAATCTCTTCTGTCATTATGTAATGACGAAACTGTCTGAATGTCATTATACGAACAACTGACTGACACGGCAGTGACACTAATTACAGGGACCACATCATTTTGGGGTGCCTTTTTTACTGAAAACTTGTCTCAACTGCTAAAATATGAAAAATTACTCTGAAAACCTCTGTTTAGGTCCAAATAAATTTTCACATCCATGTGACACTAATGGTAGATATTTCATATATACATGTAGTACAGTTGACATGCATGATAGAAATTTATTCAGAAAGTATAAAATTTAGAATTCATATGTAACATTTTTAGGCATTTTTGGGTCATGAATATAATTAATTGTATTCATGCATATTCATGAACCTGTTTTTATCATTTAGACACAATATCGTGACAGACAGGTCTAGTTATCAAATAAAAGGGAGATAATTTATCAGACAACCACTCGTCTTGTCTGAAGATCTTTGTACCATATCACCTTATTGATCATGTCGTATGTCATACAGTGTACTTAAGACAATTATATATACCCAGTATCTAGTCTGAAAACAAAATTTACAAAGGTTAAAAAAATCTTCGATATATAAAATTCTACCTCTGTTGAACTAGTTGATAAATAAATTAGCCAAATATGTGAAAACATCTACATGTAAAATCACATTTACACTTTCACCCCTGAAGACACATTTGAACTCTTCCAATTGAGAGGATGGAAGAGTTCATTATGAAATTTCAGGGGTGAATGAGTTACCTAATAACAAATATGAGGTCATGCAACTTTGGACTTGGGATTAAATTCCTTCATGATATGCCTGGCCAGCTGGTGGTATTCATGTTTGCTCAACTGACAAACTTCATTTAAGCTTTGATAAAGTACAGTCTGGATTACCTCAGCTGAGATAAGGGTCTGGCTGTCTGGGGGCCTAAACTATCTTAAGTAGGGTTTAGTGGTCAAAGAGATTACCTAATATACTGACCACTGTAAACATTCTGTATGATAGCCTTCCAAGCAGTGTCCTCAAAAAAATGTCCACTGTTATAGGACATTTGGTCAGACAGGTACATTTACTAGATTTTGGCAGTTCTGACCAACTTAAGTTTGTCTTCAGGACAATGCAAACTTTTCCTTAGTACTATAAATGAACACCATGACTCTTGTCAATGCTATTGAACCAAATACATTTAACAATGTTATGAAATTATAAACTCAAAGTTGAACAAATGACAATCGGACATCCGGACTGAAAATAGTTGTCACATATTGACACAATTTGCATGACTAGGCTGGGGCCATTCCTGTCAGATAAACATTTCCTCTTTTTGGTGAAGTTTATTCTGAATTCCTAATGTTTGTATTTATTTTTCAGGTCTTGGAGAAGGCACAGCATGAAATGCTCAACTACAATAACACTGGACAATCCGTCATGGGTAAGTCGCATAATTTAGAAAGGAATTGTATATACTCTGTATAGCCTGGCAAAAGGTAGAAAGGAACCATTGCATGTAGATTGAGATAGGTATCTACCTCTGAAACATCCTAGGGAGATCTCCCTCATTCCACATTTTCAAAGAGAGAGAAAGTGCGTGATACACAACTGAAACTGTTCTGCTCAATCTATTTTTCCCTTTTTATGCATCAAAATAACTACAAAAAACATTCATTTGATTCAGACACACCTGTTATGATCATTACACACACCCTGCAGTAACTAGGAGATCATTTGACCACAGGATGTAGATTTTGAGTTTGTGTGAGTTTGGACTTGAATGAGGGAGTTTAGAGGGAGATTAATTAATATTAGTAATACATTTTGGTCAAATTGAGGGAGTCTCGCTCCGAATGAGGGAGGGTTGACAACTGTTGTTAAATGTATCTAAATGGCGTATTACTCTTGATATTTTTTATACATTATGTACTGGTCACATTGACAGACTTGTTTGAATTAAAAGTTCAATCATTTGAACATTTTCAATTTATCAAAATAAAATGTTGTTCTAGTGATTACAAAAATTAAGTTACATTGTTTATTCAGCTTTGTTTTTGAATGTCTCCGGTAATGTTTTGAATACATTTTTTTACAGAACTAAGTCACAGGTCGAGCGATTTTACCAAAATCATCAACGCAGCTGAGAAAGATGTCCGTGACATTTTGTAAGTACAACTTACTTTTAACACTATCAATTAAAAAAATATTCACTTTTCCAAAAAGTAAAAAAAAAGTAAAAAAATGCACAGACAAGAGAACAAATTTATATTGTATACTAGCCTAAAGTAACTGAATGGTTAAAAACCAAAAACAGACCTATCAAGCCAGAAATTATACATAATTAGAAAGCCAACAGGGGGCCAACCTGCGCTGCAAATGGGGGAAGAATCTTAGAACTTGAAATTGCATTTGTTGGAATTTTTCCTGAACTGCACTATTTTTTGTGGTTGATATTTAGGCATTTAAAAAAAAAAAATGGTTACATGCTTAGACATAGTCTAGTTTACAATACGGCCCTGTTATGCATATATGCATGTACAGACTTAATAAAACAATTATAATGGTAGAATGATAATAAATACAATCTTAATAAAAGATGCATATATATATACATTGATAAATATCACAGATATCATTATGTATCACACTTATTACTTACTGTAAAACATTTCTATGTATTTCTTTAAATAGGCATCATGGGCTTAATGCCAGATAAATAACAAGAAAGAATGATTTTACTGTTATGGTATAAAAATATGAATTGTTTTAAAGTGAAACAACATTTTATCAAAGTATTTCATTCTTTTTCAACAGGAACGTCCCCAGTAATTACAAAATCATCTTCCAACAAGGAGGAGGTACCGGTCAGTTTTCAGCCGTACCTCTCAATCTGATGGGACTTAAAGAGGGTCATTGTGCAGACTACATAGTGACCGGTAGCTGGTCAGCCAAGGCCGCGAAGGAGGCAGAAAAGTATGGCAAGGTCAACGTCGTCAACCCAAAGATGGACAAATATACAAGTAGGTTACCTTCTAGACAAGTTACTGGAGATTTATAGAATATCGTAAATTATAGAATATCGATAAAATTCTCGTGTTTGGTTGGAATATTTAATGGTTTCAATTATAAATTATTAAATATGTATGGTGTTTTCTTAAAATCATTTAGTGAACATATGTAAATTGTAATGGAATTATCTAAGAAAGAAAAAAAGCAGAGTACCTTGAGCATATGGCAAATGAAACGAGGGACATTACATTAACCCTTTCACCACTGTAAACCATAATGGACTGATCCATATCAATGCATGGTAGAGTATACTAAAGTTACAAAGGGGTGAAAAGGTTAAGGTTTTATTCTGGTTTACAAAAAGGTGTATCCAAAATATGTGTTTCGATAATGAATTAATAAAACATATTTCTGTCTACAGCAATTCCACAGGAATCAACATTCAACCTGAACCCCGAAGCCTCCTACGTGTTCTACTGTGCCAACGAAACTATCCACGGTAAGTCAGGGAATAGAAAGATTTTATGACAATTTATTGTTATGCATCTCTATTAACTCAATTACAAGACGATTGTCCAAGTATACATTGATCGTTTCCACGCATACCATACAGATCTCTGATGTGACTTACAGTAACTAGATGTTTGTTTCTATAACAAGGCAGAGGTGAACAATACAATAGTTTTAGTAATAGCCCACCGACCAATTTTGTAAAATTTCGTCAGCCAAACCTATATTTTCAAAATAAATTTTAACAATGTTTACAAATTCTGAAATGAAATCTACAACCCTCGGGCATTGGTCCAGAGGAATTGTATACCCCGGTGAGATGTTCTTTTTCTGTAAAAATGATCCTTTTCTATAACAATGTTCCTTTCGTATAAAAATGTTCCTTTTCTATAACAATGTTCCTTTTCTATAGAAACATGTTTTTTTTCTATAATCCTTTCCATTACAATGTTCTATAAAAATACGCCTTTTGTATAACAATGTTCTTTTCGTTTAAAAATGTTCCTTTTCTATAACAAAGTTCCTTTTCTATAGAAACATGTTTTTTTCTATAATACTTTCCATTACAATGTTTTATAAAAATACTCCTTGTGTATAACAATGTTCCTTTCATATAACAATGTTCCTTTTGTATACCATGTTCCTTTTGTATAACAATGTTCCTTTTGTATAACTTTTGTATAACAATGTTCCTTTTGTATAACATGCTCCTTTTGTATAACAATGTTCCTTTCGTATAACAATGTTCCTTTTGTATAACATGTTCCTTTTGTATAACAATGTTCCTTTTGTATAGCAATGTTCCTTTCATATAAAAATACTCCTTTTGTATAACAATGTTCCTTTTGTATAACAATGTTCCTATAACTTTCTGTTCCTTTTCCAGGTGTGGAGTTCCAGTATATACCAGAAACCAATGGTGTCCCTCTTGTCTGTGATATGTCATCAAATATGATGTCTCGTCCAGTTGACATCTCGAAGGTAAATTTATCAATTATTTTGTTGAAACACAAATAGCCACAGCAATTTTTGTATCTCTCTCACTTTGTTTTCTTTTCTTTTCATAAAAAAGTAGAGACATACAGACATAAGCACCTTTAAAATGTATTGTGATTTTGCCGAGAATTATTATTTCAATTTCACAATTTCTTGATACAGTATTAACTTATTCTGATATGATTTCGTTTTAAAATGATATCAGATTTAAATTTGGTTTTAATACCTGTCTATGAGGTAGAGAGGGTATATCAATATAGTTGCCTTGTTTGTTTGACCATCAATTTGTTTGCGTCTTGTGTACAAATTATCCCAACACTGGTTGGTGCTCCTTCAAGTGAGATAAAATTGTTAAGATCGGAGGTAAAAACTAGGGTGAGTCGGGGCCCCGGTACCTGAAACATTATATTTTCTTCTTTGGCCTAATGGGAGACAAACAACATATATTAAGTCATAACATGCACTATTAAAGAAATTAAAACTAACTTCGCCATCATCAGCATGAAGAAAAGATTTCAAAGAAAAATTCTTGTTTACAGTTTGGCGTAATATTTGCCGGAGCCCAGAAGAATATCGGCTGTGCCGGTGTAACCGTGGTGATAATTAGAGAAGATCTACTTGGACACGCCCACCCAAAGACGCCAATTACCTTCGATTACAAAGTACAAGTTGGAAACAACTCCCTTTACAACACAGCTCCAACATACAAGTAAGTATTTCGTCTTGGAGTTGGGGCGATTATTTCGAATGAAATATTTTTTTTCAAATAAAAAATTTAACGGAAATTTGTTTGATATGTAAACTAATGCATGAGAATTGAAAAGCATCTTTTAAGATTTATATAATGTTCATACCTCAGGAGATGCACCTAGAATATGGAACTATGTTACATCATAAATATATTAAGATACGTTGATAAAAATATTATATCACTTTAAAACAATTCAAAATGTTTTCGCATAACAGTAAAATTATTCTTACTTCATATTTATCCGGCATGAAGCCCATGCTTATAATATTTTCAATGATGGCCAATTTGAAACTCAAGGTTATTGTAGAGATTTTTGGTTCTAAAGTTTTTTAATGTATTCACATTTCTAAAAATAGCAGAATATTGTAACAAATACAATTTTTGTGTTTTTGCAGTATATACATCCTAGGCCTAGTATTACAATGGGTGAAATGTCAGGGAGGTGTAGAGAGGATGGAACAGCTGTCAAGCATGAAATCTAAATCTGTGTACGACGTCCTCGACAACTCAAACGGCTTCTACTGGTAAGTATCTTCAGAACCTATCGTAACATGTTTTTAATTTTGAGAGGAAGTCTTTTTTTGGGGGGGGGGGGCTATGGTGTCTTTGTCGCATTGTGAATGTTTAATTTTTTTGAAAGTTAGGGATTGGTAACAGACTTACCTTGTATGTCTTTAATTGCAATGAAAATGTGGTTTGGTAACTCAAGGTTACAGTTGGAACCAGTTGGAAGTGGATTTGTTGGAGAGTTATGATGTGTCTATTTTAATAGAAGTTTATTTTTACTTCTCGAGTTATGAGAGGGTATGACATTGTCTCAATAAAAATGTTGTTGCTTTTTGAGAATTTTAAACCAATTCCTCAAAATCCATTTTATCTATTTTCCAGAGAATATTGCTCCCTTGGAGCTAAAAACAAATAATGTATAGCTTGTTGTCTAGAGATCGTATGATATAAAAAAAATTTTTTTTATATAATATGTTTTCCGAGTGAGATATCTTTATTTTCGTATTCTTGGTTACAGCGGTACCATTGAGCCCCACTGTAGAAGTAGGATGAATGTCCCGTTCCGGGTCGGGGGACCAGAAGGGGACGAGGCGTTAGAAAAGAAATTCTTAGAGGAGGCTTCAAAGAGGAATATGATCTCATTAAAAGGACACAGGTAAACAATTGATGTATAAACAGAATTATTCACTAATAAACCACCTGTGTTAAAAGACCACCTGTGTTAAGAGACCCCGAAAAATTTGACCACATTATCAAGGGCAAAACAGGCAAAAATTAAACGACGATGTGATACAGTATTCAAATGTATTTGTTTGATATAACAAAAAGGAATATTGATATTTCTGAGGCAAGTCTTGACAAGTTCAATTATCTCCCCTACACAACTCTAAATTTATGAACTATGCGATTTCAATTCTTTCACAAATTTTAGACAGCTCTACCATACCTGTACCTGTAACAGGTTATAAAAGAATAATACGTTTGTAATAACTCTTTCTAATTTTTTCTTTATTTTGTTGTAGATCTGTCGGCGGTATGCGGGCGTCATTATACAACGCTCTCACAGTTGAGGAGGCAATGGTACTAGTAAATTTCATGAATGAATTCCGTGAACAAAATCAGTGAACCAAGGACAAAAAGACTTGTAAAACCTTTACCGGGCATCGGTGTCAAAACTGGAATTGCTAGTCTTGAAACACTGCTGTTGTTCTAATGTGAACGACACTACCATTTTAAACGAACATACCATTGTTGGTCTTGATACCGTCCATCTCTTCAGGACTATTTTACACCCAACCAACCATACAGAAGACACCCTTGTTTGATATTGGGTGAATTTTATTAACAACGCAAAAATGTAAAAGGACTGACCCAGTATTTTTTACTATTTTTCAATTTTTTCTTTCTTCAAATTTTAAACAACACTGTCTTATCACTATAAGTGATGTAACGGTTCAATTTGTGTGTAGACACTAAATCCAATGCAACCACTCAACCAATAACTGGGCTTATGTGCTTTATACTTCCCTTTAGAAACTATTGTACATGTAAATAAGTGAAAAGGGAACTCGTTAAAAGCCATTCAAATTCCATAAAAATTCTGAAATCTAAAAGATTGTTCAGATTTACAGGAAGCAACACTTTGTCACCGTGAACAAATGAGAGGTTTTCTTGACAGTCAAATAGAGTTCAAGTTTAACATGGGCCTACTGGAATATATTTGAAGAATGTTTTTGGAAAACTCGGGAAATTGGTTTTTGAGAGAGAAATTTGCTTTGGAAAATGAATGTTCAGCTCAAAATTTTATCTTCGTAAAATATAACTTGGGTTTAAGCAGTATTATGGGTTAATCTGGTTGAAATATGCTATGGTTGTATATGGTTGTGTTGTCAAGTATAATGCCCAGATAGACTTATAGGGATTGGTTTATTGTTGTTATATACACTGCCAAAACCTAGGAAGAATTCTCGCAACAAAAAATACTATACGACTTTTGTCGTGAAAGTGTGATAGCGAGAGAGGACTCATGTTTGTGACGGATGCGAGTGTGAAATTATTCAATGTTTGTTTATAGTGAATATATAGAATGGAAGTGATTGATGACCTGTTTGTTTTGAAGAAGTGTAATGACTGAAAGAGTTGGCGTGTAAATGTTTTTGTTGGAAGTTTGTATAAATCGGATGAAGAGGGATATATGATGAGAAAATGGTGCTGCTTGTTTATTTGTATGCAAGCGTTTTTATTAGGCCAAAACAAAAATTATGTGTGTTTCAAGTATCTTGACCTTCCTTAGAAGTAAGATTGCCCTACCAGCTCTAGAACATAATTATTATCATTTTACTTGTATCAAAGATTAATTTTGTAGCCATGAAATGCTCAAAATCACTTTTTCTTCCTTTTCTTGGAGCCTGACTGAATTCATGACAATTTCATAGTCAGTTTTTTGCCGGTATGTTACCTAAAACACATATAATTTTTGTTTTGGTCTTTAAAATACTATGAACAATTTGAATATGAACATTGTGTATTTAAAGTACAGTATTTAAAAATATTTTGAAATTCCATCTTTCTATAGAGAAAAGGTAATATCTAGTTGAAAATTTTACGATACTGAATGAAAAATATTTAACAATGATATGCCTCGTAATTGAGGATTTGTTATTTCATAACTACAAGATTGTATAGGGCATATTTTTATTTTTTACACAAAGCAGTTATAATTTCTATGTAAGTACATACCATTGTTTAATCATTCATACATGTACATATTACATTTTATCAAAACATTATGGCAGAAAAAAAAAATCATACATTCATACTTGTTCAAAATTTCCGAAGTATTTTACCGAATGTTTAAAAAAAAATTGGAATGATTGAAAGAGTTCAATGAGAATTATTCATGGTAATAATTACTGCTTCGATGTTTATGTTAGAAAATGTTGGAATTTTGAAGATAAGTATTATATATACATCCTGCATTAAGCCCAGGGAGTCGACACACAATCTCTTAATGCAAAGTAGAGAAATAGAGTGTTAACAAGACAGTGAAAAACTGAACTGTAATATATATTTGGATGGGCTTATTACAGGGCATGGGCTTATTAGCAGACATACACAAGTAATGTGGTACTTCAGAGTAATAGTTTTCTGTGTGTTGAACTGAATTAGTTTTTTAACCCATTCCACCCCTAAATTCACATTTGAACCTTACCAAATCAGACACTGGACAAGTCCAGTTTAAATAGGTAGGGGGAATGAGTTAAATTTTTTGTTGATCTGCTAGACACACAATATATTTGCACAATACAGCTTTTACTGAACAATGCATTTAACAAGAACACAGTTATCACACATCACAGGCTTAAACATTGTCACAAACACGGTTATCACACATCACAGGCTTAAACATTGTCACAAACACAGTAACACAGGAGTCCATGTTTAAGTAACATGTGCATTTGTTTTTTTTATTATTTTATTGTCTAAATGACATAAAATATGTTGTTTCTGATCAATAATAAAACTTTGAAAAATTAAAAAAAAATATTATAAAAGTAATGATAGTATTTGTTGTTTATTTTTTACACTTTCATAATTTTCAGTTGCACTTTGGAAAAAAAATTGATGTTCTAAGCAGACTATTGTGTTCGGGCCTACATCAACACTGTGTTGTATCCTTATCTGGACAGGATCTTTGAATACATTGATATAAACATTGTGCACATACATGCACATATCAACTCATGTCCCTGTTTTAAGTGTTGACAATCCCATATTTAATGAAGACTTGATTGATTTTGAAGAAAAACGTTTATTTTGTCAACATTTGAAATCCAAGGCAGGTTACGACCTGTTCCATGATGCTATGGCCTGCCAATGAAGGCTGACTTTAATACTCGACCACTTGGGTACTACAGTCTGGATTTTATATCTAAAAGCTTGCACATGCCGATACGAAACGCCCAATCATTGCCTTGCTTTCAAATTACATGGGTGCAGACAATGACTAGTTGCTACAGTCTGACCAAAGGAAAGCAGTAGGCTGTACCATAGTCGTCCAGACATATGTACTGTAGCTTTTTAGGTCACCTGAGACAAAGTCTCAAGTGACCTATTGCAATCGCCTTTTGTCCGGCGGCGTCCGTCCGTAAACAATTTACATTTTCGACTTCTTCTCCAAAACCCCTGAACAATTTCAATGAAATTTTGCAGAAACCTTCCATGGCCAAAGGTCAACAAAAATAGAGGCCGATTTGGTCCCCGGCCCCCAGGGGCCTGAAGGGCGGGGCCAAAAAGGGTCAAATTGACTGAAATTTTTAAAATCTTCTCAAGACCCAGATATGGTAGAATCAAATACTCTTCATAGATGGAAGGGTCTTAAGGTGCTTTACCAAAAGTGTGAATTTCTTTACCCTGGGGAGGGGGTCAACTTTACTATAGTTTATATAGGGAAATCACATTTTGGACAAACATTTGTTTAATTTCCATTGGAAGTAATTCAATTTAAGTTAGCATTATCAGTATTAGGTAGCAGTTTGATAGTATGCACATGAGCCCTGACTGATCCCCAGGGGCTGATGGGTGGGGCCGAAAAGGGTTGAATTGACTGATATTTCAAAAATCTTCTTCTCAAGACCCAGATATGGTAAAATCAAACACTCTTCAAAGATGGAAGGGTCTTACAGTGCTCTACCAAAATTGTGAATTTTATGACCCTGGGGTATCACGTTTCCCCCTGGGGAAGGGGTAAACTCTACTATAGTTTATATAGGGAAATCACATTTTGGACCAACATTTGTTTAATTTCCATTGGAAGTAATTCAATTTAGGTTAGCATTATCAGTATTGGGTAGCAGGTTGTGGTATGCACATATGAGCCCTGACTGATACCCGGGGCTGATGGGTGGGGCCAAAAAGGGTTGAATTCACTGAAATTTCAAAAATCTTCTTCTCAAGACCAAGATATGGCAGAATCAAATACTCTTCATAGATGGAAGGGTCTTTAGATGCTTTACTAAAATTGTGAATTTCATGACCCTGGGGTCTCACGTTTACCCCTGGGGAGGGGGTAAACTTTACTATAGTTTATATAGGGAAATCACATTTTGGACCAACATTTGTTTAATTTCCACTGGAAGTAGTTTAATTTGGGTTAGCATTATCAGTATTGGATAGCAGTTTGATGGTATGCACATATCAGCCCTGACTGACCCTGTGGGGCCAAAAAGGGTTGAATTTCAAAAAAAATCTTCTCAAAGATCCAGATATGGTAGAATCAAACACTCTTCATAGATGGAAGGGTCTTAAGGTTTATGACCCTAGGGTCTCATGTTACCCCCTGGGGAAGGAGGGGGGCAAAATTTATTATGGTTTATAATGGCAAATGATACTTGTTATTACATGTTAATAACTTGATTGGAATTATAACCCCGAGTTGACAGTTTGATACTTTGAAAATTTTGAGACAGCCCTACCCCCAAGGGCTGTCGGGTGGGGCCCAAAGGGGTCAGTGTGCTAAAATTTCTTCATTTTCCTTGTTTAGAATCAGAGGTGCTAGTTTCAAATACTTTTAAGTCTTATTTTTAATCTGTATGCTAGATATTGAATTAAGTGGTTTTATTGTTTTTTGTCCCTTTGAATAATATTTCTGTTCATGATAAAAACAAAATCAACTCTCTGTACTCTGTATAAATATATCGGGTAACCGTTAAGGCCCATGGGCCTCTTGTTGTTAGTTGGCCCATATTCTGTCCAGTTGGTGATCAAACTCGACCATAATGAGTAAGCCAGGGGAGAGAACTCTTACAGATAAGAATGCCAGACTACATAAAGCAAATATTTCCAGAGCTGCAGTGAATGTAATTAAAAACTAATCAAGTTCATGTTTAATGTGTACCCTATTCACTGTAATAAATTCCAAGGTGCTTGTGAAATTGGTCAGAGCACTGAAGATGACAAACGTGTAGTGAGTCACTTAGTATCTAAAAGTGTCATAACTGTCACATTCCAAGGTAGAATTCCAATATTGTTCTCTAGTTTTCTAAAACATGGAAAAACGCTTGTGTCTCACAAAGTGGTGTTTAATATAAAGCGTAAAACACCACATTTCCTAACAACATATGTCTAGAATGGAAAGGGGCTCTTGTAATAACATGACACTTATTTGAATGCGAGACTAGCTATGGAGATAAATGTCAGATGCTATAGAATATCTGAGCTGATGGGTAGCGTTTCTTCTGTCCTCATCTTCCACATAAAATATTACGCCCCCGTCACATTGTGGCCAGGGATGTGGTAAAGTTGATGCCCTCCATCTGTGGAAATGTCTGTATATTTAACCTCGGGATCATCAAACGCTGTAAGCTTGTAATCTTTTGGGATGGTGGATTTTCATCGTTAGACCTTCATTGAATGGACAAAATATGTGAGATTATCGCTTGTCTGGAGAGTATTATCTTTGAATTAAAGGTCAAAGGTCAAAATGTAGTTCACAGTGTATCATAAAACTAGGGAATCTGGTACACATTTGAAAAGTGGAGTGTTTTGCAAAAATGCACAATGCAGGTCACTGTGACCTACACTTTGCCCTTTGACCCTGTGTAAAAGTGCAAAATATCCGAGATACCACTTGTCTGGAGCACATCTCCAACATAATTTCACCTGGGATGAGCAAAGCAATACAGAACAACAACTTACGAGTGATCAGTGTTGATTGTGTATTTGTATTAAAGTTCAGGTTGAGGAAGTCAGGTTTTACGCTAGATTCTGTTTTACTCAGGATTCAGTTTAGACAGGTTCTGCTGTGTATTTACGACAATTCAACATCAGGGCCCGTATTCATAAGACCATTCTCATGCTCATGCGCAAATTTTGTGCTCAAGCCTTCATTCTTGGTCCCGTATTAACTTGTTGTCGATGACTTCAAAACCTTTTGAAGAGAATTTAGTAAAGCTGAACACTGTTTTCAATGTTTACATTCGACTTTTTGGTCATTTGACCTGATAAACGGAAATAGGAAGTATCACAATTTCCCCATATTCTAATGTTTAATATCAAACTGATGAATATTGTATGTTTATTATTGACAGAACAGTGTGTTAACTCACTCTTACATGCAATTACTATGTGTATATGGTTTTATTATAAAGTGTCAATTTCTAATCGTTAATAGATCATTTATTTTACACAATTTCAGCATTTAATAAATTGATATACATTAATGCAATACTAATCTATGGCAGTATCATTTTTTTTGACATTATTTTACAAACAATTGTGTTTTTAATTTGTTTTCTTCAAAATTCACTCCTTTTTACATAAATTTCCATTTAAAATCCTGAAAATTCTGACAACCTATATTTTTTGGGAGCAGAACATTTTCTTAACTTCAAAGCAACATAACTACAAAATTTGAAGAAATTCTACTCAGAAATGGTGACACAATCCTATTACCTTAAGCACAGTACAAGAAAGAGGGTTTGAGCACAGAATCCATGCTTGAGCATGAGAACGGTTTCATGAATACGGGCCCAGAGACCACCTTTGTGCTCCAACGTCAGCACAGAATTTGCTACAATAACATTGCTGTTAAATTATGTTTACTTTTATTATTAAGGGGAGATAACCCCAAACAAAAATAACTTGTGTATATAATGGTAGCTTGTACCTTGTACTAATTGAGGACTAATTGCTGTTGATTTTTTTTTATCATACAAGATGTCAACATGTCATTTAATTGAAATTTAACAATCACAACACCATGCTTGACGAAAGGTCAAAATAAACTTTTTGTTTCATAGATGTAGACGGTAACACTTTGATAAACATTGATGTGTATTTTATTGGAATATTTTAGTAAAGTTTGCATTTAATAAACAAAAAATATAAAATGTGTATCATATGTATAACTTATCACATGATTACTAAATAATTCAGTGACTACAACAATGGCCTTTATTTTGTATATACAGACTCATGTAGTATAAAACATATCATAGTGATGCCAGAAAAATGGTGAGGAAATGTTCCAACAGACATCCAGATTATGTTATGACATCACAATGGAGACAATTAGCGAAGAAGGCAGAATTTTTGACACCTTAATTATACCTATTAAAACTTGTTTCCTTCTGTATTTACTGGAAAGAATCTTCATTTTTTTCCCATTTCATGCAAGATTGATGAAATTCTTCACATAACCATGTTCTGTCTTTAATGAAGAATTCTTGACTTTTTTTTCAAATTTTTGATAGCAAATGGTACGTCACTTATGTAATATTCTTCAGGTCATGGTTAAACAATATGAGTGACTGTACAGGTCCTTACAGTTCTAGAAACTTTGAAAATCTAGCAACATGCTTAAACAGTGTGATGTCATAAAAAATCATTTACATGAAATATTATGTATATCATATTATATCATATATATATATGTAACGATAACAATTACAAATTTTTAAGGAACACATTCTCTAAATTAAAAAGAGCAATAATGAAAACAACATTTTTTAGGCATAGCTGAACAGACGACAGGCCTAATTTCAAAGCACAACCAAGGAACCATTGATGCAAAATTAAAGCTCCTATTCACATGCAAATTCATTATTTTTGAAAAATAAAAATAAAAAATTGACCATGCTCGAGAACTTTAGAACTTTAGAAGCGTAGCGGAAGATACTGAAACCTTCACCAAATCTTCATCAAATACATCTATCTATATTTATGAAATAAGCTGAGATTAAATTTGAACTGTCAGAAATGCTCGTAACTTTTCAAGCTCATCATTCCAGCCACAACTCTTAGATCGTTGTTCAGTCCTCTCTCTTACAAACAACTTCACATACGGTATCACTAACAAGTATTCAAAACCATCCATCGTGGTAAGACAGTGAAACCTTGATATAACGACCCTCATATCATTTGCCGACTCACTAGACCGGGAGTGTGTACCAGTAACACCAGTAGATGCGTCAGTAGTAGTCGTAGACTAATGGTATGACGTCGACAACGGTGAGTTAACGGTGTTTTACATGGATTTTCCCTTTCTCATAAAACCTTTTCTAGTTTTTCCCTTTAGGAGAAACAAAAAAACTTTTAAAATGGTAAAATCTTTTTGCGAAAATGTTGGCAGTATAACAAGGTTTCACTGTATATTGACATTTTCTTTTAATGAGATGGCGGTTGGTGATCTTTGGGTTTTCTACAACCAATCTATAATAATTTCATACAATAACTATCATGATCATTACAAAAACTTTTGGTATAAAAACAGACAACAGGGCAGCTACACAGGTGCACTTATCATTTGATCCTTGCGTGATTACCAAGTGAGATTCTCTGATCTAGTCATACAATTAAACAAGAATTAAGTGTTTCTGTCAATGTGAAGTGACTACAGATACTATGTCAAGGCTGAAACATCACTTCACTCATTCACCCCTGAACTTTCCTTATGAACTTTCCCAACCTTTTAATTGGAAGAGCTCAAATGTGTCTTCAGGGGTGAATGAGTTAAAGGTGAAGCCAAGAAATCTGACATTTTCCAAAATATTGATAGACTTCTGACTACAAGTGAGACTTGTAAACTAACACGTTGATTTACATATACCTATTTCACTGAAGATAAACAATCTTCAAAACTACACCGCGTCAGTAAATGTTTGCTTTGGATTTCAGTGTATACTATGTGGTAAGTATTTGAGGGACAAAATGGATTCTAAGACACGTAAAACTAGGTTGGAATGATAAACATCCATTTCACTGGATGTAAACAATAACTATATTCAATCAACATAAAACTTATTTGGAATGATAAAGTACAAATGAGATTTTGGCATCAACAGGCATATTATAAGCTGTATGCTTCTGAACATTATCAACTTCCAACTTTTCAATCAATGGTGTTTTCATATAAGGAAATCTGTACCACTGCCAAAAGCTGTAGTTATGTATTATAAACTTTTTTACTGGCATGACCCAGTCAGGCCCCAGTCCAACATTCATACTTTACTTTGAATAGCAAGTCATCTTCAACTTCCACCCCGGGACATACACTTTTGATTAATTATCCCAGAAAATTATTTGCATAGAATTGTGACTGTCGTACATGTTCACATATTGAAAATTTAACACTTTAATAGATGGGTTTAGCATATTTTGCACAATTTAGCTGAACTTGCCAATTTCTTGAAAGATGCAACAAACCATCCAGGGTACCAGTTTTTTCAAGAGACAAAAAATCGTATTGATTTCTTGAAAACTGTAGAAATACTTCCACTTTGTCAAGTATTTTCTATAAATTTTCAACAGGTTAACATCCCTTCAGTTTCTTTCTTATATAACACGGCTTTTGATTGGTCAGTAGTCAGGCACAGGCATTAGGAGAGTCTTCAGAAATTCATGGTAACGGATCTGGCCTCCAGGTGCCACCTTCGTTTCCCGGAATAATGCATCCACTGTAAAAGACAAGAACAAAGCTCAGAAAACAATGATCGCAGCTGTTACAGGAAACACAGTTACTTTATTATTTGTTACAGGAAACACAGTTACTTTAGTATTTGTTACAGCAAACACAGTTACTTTATATTTGTTACAGGAAACACAGTTACTTTATTATTTGTTACAGGAAACACAGTTACTTTATTATTTGTTACAGGAAACACAGTTACTTTATTATCTGTTACAGGAAACACAGTTACTTTATTATCTGTTACAGGAAACACAGTTACTTTATTATCTGTTACAGGAAACACAGTTACTTTAGTATTTGTTACAGCAAACACAGTTACTTTAGTATTTGTTACAGGAAACACAGTTACTTTAGTATTTGTTACAGGAAACACAGTTACTTTAGTATTTGTTACAGGAAACACAGTTACTTTAGTATTTGTTACAGGAAACACAGTTACTTTAGTATTTGTTACAGGAAACACAGTTACTTTAGTATTTGTTACAGGAAACACAGTTACTTTAGTATTTGTTACAGGAAACACAGTTACTTTAGTATTTGTTACAGGAAACACAGTTACTTTAGTATTTGTTACAGGAAACACAGTTACTTTATTATTTGTTACAGGAAACACAGTTACTTTATTATTTGTTACAGGAAACACAGTTACTTTAGTATTTGTTACAGGAAACACAGTTACTTTTATTATTTGTTACAGGAAACACAGTTACTTTATTATTTGTTACAGGAAACACAGTTACTCAGGCTATATATCGAACATACCAGGTAAGTCAACACCATAATTTACATACTTAATTAATTTGAAAGGCGTATTAACACTGGAAGAATTTGTAATTCACAGGCAAAAGTTTGACAGGGTGAAAATTCCCAAATATTTATGACATATGCAGTTCCTGTCAAATAGATTCGGAAGACGCGCCGTTTAGTTTGAACATGTACGAAAAAATAATCTCATCTTTCTAATTTCTACAGTCAATATATTGTAACAGGTTTAGCTTTCATCAGGTCACCTTTTCTGCATTGTGGTATCAGACTTTTCCAAATATGTGATGTCACGTCATTGTTGAGCAATTGTGACATCACATCATATTTAATAGGATAGACATTTCTTACACCCCTTCCTTACCCTGGACTACTCTATCTTTAACTCATTCACCCCTGAAATTTCATAATGAACTATACCTACCTTTGAATTGGAATAGTTCAAATGTGTCTTCAGGGGTAAATGAAGCAATTGTGACATCACATCATATTTAATAGGATAGACATTTCTTACACCCCTTCCTTACCCTGGACTACTCTATCTTTAACTCATTCACCCCTGAAATTTCATAATGAACTATACCTACCTTTGAATTGGAAGAGTTCAAATGTGTCTTCAGGGGTAAATGAGTTAATACACACACGGAAATGAGTGCAAATTAATAACTGCGACATGTTTTCATCATTTAATTAGTGAAACTTATATACAATCACAGACTGACCTTCACCCCGAGACAGCTTCACCCCAATCTTCATGAGGATATTACGGACTTCGCTTGCCTGCACATAACCTCGCTTTTCCTGGTCATGAGCCACAAACGCGTTCAGCAGCTCCTTGTCCACATTTTCTACCTTCGAATGGTCGTGCATGGCCTCAAGAAACGAGGCGAAGTCAATGTTGTTGCTGTCTGGAGATAGAAAGTCAGTAACCAATGTTAACATGTTTGTTCTGGATTTTATGTAGAGCTACAAAATAATTATGGAACAATTTCTCCCACACTTCACATGTTATTATAATTAATATTGCATGCTTAGCGAGGAGGTCATCAACACAGGAGAGGTCATAAGGGCCAACAAATGGTCGACAAAAACAAATGCAAAATAAAAGCATCGAACAAACGTAAAAGTAAAAGACAAACGTCAACTTCAATATTTAATGTGGCTTAATGTTCACCCACATTTTATTAAAATTAAAAAAAAAACAAATTTCAGATGCATTCCCTTTCTTGATAGAGAAAATATTTGTGATGAGGGTTATGATCAATTATAATCTAAAAATTGATTGGTTTGCCATATTTGATTCCATTTATCGATTACAATGGTAGGAAACAAAAAAGGTATGGGAGAAAAATAATCCATAACTCCTCTGTGATACAGAGAGAAATTACAATCCTTGTTTTGGGCATTCAGCTTAACTGCAGGTTGAGATTTCTCAATTTAACCCTTTCACCCCTATGTAACTTTAGTAGACTCAACCAAGCATTGATTTGGCAGAGTCCATTATGGTCTACAGTGGTGAAAGGGTTAAATCACACAGAAGACACAATAGATTCTCTTTAAGCCATTGGTGTCCACTGATGAAAAGAGCCGAACAAATATTACCACATCATTTGCTGAAACAAATAGTTGGCAAGAGAGAAAAGATCAGGTGAAGATTCCTATATAATGTTACATAGGGAGCAACAGACCACTGTTAGTTTTTTCTGCTTCCTTAAAAGAGGGTATTTAATTAGAAGAACTTAAGCCAGCAGAGGGTTTCCTATTAACTTGTTCACCCCTGAAGAAACATTTGAACTCTTCCAATTCAAAGGTTGGAATAGTTCATTATGAGATATCAGGGGTGAATGAGTTAAATCATTGTAAAACATCAAACAGAATTTTAAACAGTCGTCTTACTTTTGCTGTAGGTTGTAAAGTACTTGGTGACCTCCTCAGGGGTGGGGCTGTATCCAATTCAAAAATTGGAATAGTTCATTATGAGATATCAGGGGTGAATGAGTTAAATCCTTGTAAAGTATATTGACCAAACAGAATTTTAAACAGTCGTCTTACTTTTGCTGTAGGTTGTAAAGTACTTGGTGACCTCCTCAGGGGTGGGGCTGTATCCCAGGGACTGCATGATGTATCCCAGCTCCTCCTTACTCGCGATGTTTCCCTTCCGCGCATAGTAGAAAAAACACTCCTTGAAGCCTGAAATATATACCAACCAGACCATCAATCCCCTTAAATCTAATGTACAGTTAAAATCTGCCACATTACTTCCCCCATTTTAAATGTGTTCACCCTCGAACACCAAAACCAGGGTTCTAGTTTTTAAGTTTTAAGTTTTATTCGAACTTTAGGCCATTGGCCCATCAGTATACACTACATATTATACACAAATCATGGACAATGATGTACAGAGAATGAAGACAATCATATTCCATTATAATACCTTTAATTTGTTTGCCTCATAGATGAATTTTCCTAGTAGACACAATTCTTTAATAACTCTGGGCTCAGGGGGTTGGGGTAGGAATCTCAATTTTACAGTTTGAAACCATCTTCCTCCAAGGATAATTCTCACCAAGTAAGAATAATTTCCTACAGAAAGTTGTCAAAATATACCCAAAAGTGTTATTTCCCTATATAAACTATAGTAAAGTTTACCCCCTCCCCAAGGGAGAACGGATAGATCGGGGGTCCTGAAATTTACAATTTAAATAAAGCCCCTGATGATCTTTCATTTCATGAAGAGAAAAAAGCTGTAGTACCTCTGAGTCTGGAGAAGAAGATTTTTGAAATATTGGTTAATTTTCCCTTTGGGGCCCGCCCTGGCCCCAAGACCGTTAGGTAGGAATCTCAATTTTACAATTTTGCGAGGTGAAATTGTAATTGAAATTGTAATGATTCTCCAAAATCTATTACAGGTTTGTACAATAAACATTTTGGAGAGTTTTCCACTGTGGTCCTTAGGAATTGAATGTCTTGATAAAAAAATCTTTGTTTTATCAATGGTAATAACAAATTTTGCTGAGAAATACATGTACATGGATTTAACTAAACATCACTAAGACCTAGATTATATAATTCATCTCTTACTGCTATAGCCCAGTTGAAATCATTTCTACTACAACATTGTAATAAAAATCTATAGGAAGTGGATATAATACAATTTTAAGATTTTAAGATCTGAAACCAATATTTTATCATTCTAATTTTTCTCATCAAAACTAGAGGTAACCATCTCCATTCAAGATATACCATGTTGTTATTGGCCGATTTCTTCACTTTTAGTATTTTCTTACAACAAGAGGTCCAAGAGGGCCTGTATCGCTCACCTGAATATTTAAGCAGTCATAGCAAAATATTCTCATTAAATATTATATTGCACTACAAATATTTCCCTCGCAAACTTTGTCGGCTCAATCTGTTGAAACAAATAAGATTCTATGCTTTTTGGTTCTTCTTCAGAAGTTGTTTTGACATAATTTTTCCCTCTGACCTTGTAAGTAGGTCAATGTCATTTTCCTTCTCAAACTTTGTTAGCTCCATCCCAAAAAGCTACCAGCCAAATCTTATAATTTTATGCCTTTCGATTATGACATATTTGACACAGTTGACTTTGAAAGTAGGTCAAGTATTTTCAAATACTATTTGTAACAGGAAAGAGAATATAATAGTATCATCATCATGGCAGCTTCCTGACCGGGGATCGAACATGCGATCCCATACTTCCTAGTCGGACACGAGCTCTACCACTGAGCTAAAGGGAGATTCACTCTAGCCTAAAGCAAACCTTTATCCTATGTACCATTAAAATCTGACACATTGATATAACATTAGTGCAGGCAAATTCGCCATGCACCCAAATTTGCAACCCTGTGACGAAAATGCCATATGACGTCATAATACATAAGATGTGACGTAAATAACGTCACCATAGTCTTCAACACAGTTAAAGCCTTCAAATATTTTGACAAGAAGAGGTATAAGAAGGGAAAAGCTATACTTTTGTTCAAAACAGTTATGAAATATCTTGTAACAGAACAAATCTTAAATTTTTTGTCTGTGCAACAGACATCTCGTTAACTAAACTCATTAATCTGAGGCCAGTTGGTTGTTATTTTAAGTATAAATGTATTACATACACATGAAAACACCCATATCTTAACACTATTTGCAGTTAATGCAAGTAAATTGTTTTTTTCTACAAGTGTACTTTGGTACATGTACAATGTACTGATGATCCACTGCGTGTTTATGGAAATGACGATCGGAAAGATCCGCGATTTGATAATTCGTCAGTTTCCATTTTCATGCAATGTGAAAGGAATTGGTTGTTGGCCTGAAAGTGCTGCTGTACAATNGGGGGGGGGGGGGATTGTTGAAAGCCCTTGACCCTCTCATCCTGACCCGATGAAAAATATAATATTGGGCAGTGATTTGGAAGTTTATATTTGTTAAGGACTGAGTCTTTATTGCGTATCATGTAAATTGACATCATCTCAGCCGATACCAGCCATCTTTCTCAAATAACATTAATCAGTTTCTTCAAGTTACCGAAAACTAACTATCACAACTAAGAAAAGTCACGTATTTCAATGTTAATCATTGTTACACACACACATTTGGAGCTGTTTGTATCAGTACGGCTTGTAAAACATAAACAAATTTTTCTTTACATTTAAACACTTAGATTACTTGTAAATTAGTCAAATGTTTGAAGGTGGCGAAACTGCCTGCACCTTTGAGCAAAACCACAGAAGGCCTGCATCATGATGACGTCACAAATGTTGCTGCGTGACGTCATTCAGGCGTGTTTACAACAATGTTTATTTATAGGCGTTTCAGTCGAATCTAATCTTTTGTATTGTTGCTCGTCGGCATTTTGATACATGCCTATTTGGTCGAATTATTAACAGAAACCCTTACTAATGTGACGAATTTGCCTTCACTGACGTTAGGTCTCTTAGTAATATATGAATGTTGCAACAAGTTTGGATCTAATGTCTGCCCCTTGGTAAATACACATGAATGATACATATTAGTCAAAGTGATAAATGGAAATTTCCAAAATATTGGCAAGGAATCATACAAAAATTTCTAACGAGATATCTATGTACCTATATATAATCTAATGGCCATGAAGAAATTTACCAATAAATTGCATAAGAATATACATGTAGGCCTGTTACATTTAATTCAGGTATTATTGTACAGTTGTATAGTTCAGACCTTCAGCAATTTTGAAAATGGTTTGCCCTGAGGAAAAGGTGTCTGGCATTTAACCATTGATGTGAGAACTCGGTGAATTTAAAATCAGGTCGAATAAACACTACCTGTATTTTACAATACACAGAACCAGGTAAGAAGGTAGGGTGTGGCACATCATATTCATAGCTGATACTTACGATCTATATCTGTTTGACTGAAGGAATATGCCTGGAACGGAAAAGATAAATATATTAAAATGTCATTGTTTTCTAATTTCTATACAATAACAATTATTGCAGTTGTTTACAACACATTACAATCTCAGGTGTAACTCACCATTTTGACAGGTGCTATTTCGGTGATTTACTGCGGGACATCTTGTGAATTAAATCCTACTCTTATAATATAAATACTCTGTATGTAAAAGGTTAAAACAAAAATTATTTAATCGATAACATTGAAATTTTCTCTTTAATGAAGCATACAAATATATTTTTTATCTGACATTCATCCCGCATATTTTAAGGGAGATAACTCCTATGTCATGAGGTCCAAGTGTCATAGTTGAAACCTTGAACAGTCCATACATTTTGCACACTCTGATTATGTTTTGTTGAAGCAAAGGCTTATTGAAAATAGTTTCATCAAAATTCCTGTTGGAAAGAGTATGTAGTCACTAAAGGTAAGCTTTTCTACCAGTTTGTTTGATGCAATTTAAAAGACATGTTCCAGCAAGCCGGAAAACAGACGACAACATTTTGCTGTGTCAGTTTGTAAACATGATCCAGCGGCATGGTTGCAGGGCTATTATATAGGTCGGTAAGCCGGCCCGTGTCTGCACGTATCTTCTTGTCAGTGTTATCATAACTGCGAATGTATGTCAGGATGTGTATTGACTGACATATGTACAGTACCAGTAGGTCACATCTACTTAACCTTTATCAGTTTATATAATGTTTTGATGAAAGTTATGAAACATTGAACGCCTCACCTTTCTGAAAAGATTTGTTTTTCTTCGAATTGTATCTTTGTTAGGGTGACAGTCAAAAGCTTCTTATTATTAAATTTTGATTAGGTTATAATTGCTGTAACTTACTGTAATATAGCATGGCAAAACAGTTCATCGCCAGGCTCCAAAAATCTGAATGACCCAAACATCAAAAAAAAAAATCCAAATATTGAAAAGTTAAGTTGATGCATGGGCCATTTTTCCATTAGTTTATATGAGGAGCGTAAGACTATAAAATGTCTGACCTTTTTTCTAATTTGTTTATTTTTTTTCTAAAACAGACAATTGTTTTTTCGTCCAAAATGACCCGGAACACCGTGGCAACACTGGACAATATTATTTTAACTCGTTTCCTCTAAACCATTGGACACAGAGTCTCTAATATTTGAAAAGTTGGAAGTACCTATTGCAGGACCGATCGCCTCTGGTCTGACCTACTGGTCCTATGGTTGGCTGCCCATGCCAAGGCGCCATAAAGTTTATGGATGTTGTAACCAAATGTACATGTAACTCCATGGTCAATTTATATCAACAGCAGTCTAGGCAATGTATTGTTCCTTTCCTTGACCTGAGCACGTGAAATCCGCACTTTGTGTTAACTCTTTCAAGTCACGCCTTAACATCCATTGGCACCATGAACCTCAGTTTTCACCTACTTGTTTTAGTGTTGCCGGACCAATGAACTAAGTTCTACAAGGATACGCCTTTAGAAGCATATAGTGATTAAACCGGTGTTAAATTGACATAATTGACATTTGATGCCCAACTAAATATACCCAAAGAAGGTCAGGGGTGTACAATTTCAAATTTGAAGTACTAGCCCACAGTTTCATTCTGAAGAAAGTCTACTATAGCTGTTACCCGACCTATAGTTTCAAAATAAATATTAAAAATGTTCACTACCTCCAACATATAAAGTCTACTAGCCCCGGGCATCGGGCTAGTGTAATTGTATAACGTACATTCCTGAAGGTGGTACTGTATAAGGGTCTCTTTTAAATTTGGCACCATGAGCATGATGAGGCTGACAAACTTTGACCAGGTACAGAATGCTTATCCTGAAGTTTGGAGGTCACAGTTGTTTCAAAAGCCAGGTTTCAATTGGCCGCTGGAAATGAGTTACCTTGATACCTTGACATGTTTACAGGCCTGTAGATAAAAAAAATACATTCTGTCTGACATGACCGTGTAGTTTCTTTAATTTGAGCTTATAAAATTAATAAACTTTATTTTTCTTACAACAATTATGAAACAAGTTTTTCCAGCTTATATTTATTAGTCCTTGTTTGCCTGGATTGGAGCATGCATACGAGGGATTGTTATCATAGAAGGAAACTGTAGAATCCATGTGGTGATACAGGTGATCAGTACTTTGTCTAAATGGTGAAAGTCTAGTGTATGATCCGGTCCACTGTGCTACCCAACCTGCTTTTGTCTTATAATCATATGCACTAGAGAAGATTTTTTTTTGTGCCCATATGACACTATGATGCATACATCGCAATGGCTAGATCGGGTTTCGAACCTGGAGCTACTTGGTCGCTGACGATTGACCCAGTCCAGTTCTGCTACATTCCCCCTTCTTTTTCGAAATCTTGAACACACAACTGTTTACAACCCAGGTTGAATCAAGGGTTGGCAAAGCAAGCTCATCAATTTTGTAACAAGAGAAAGAGAAATTTATGCAACGTCCAGACTTGGAATGATCTTGGGACCTTTCAAACTCTAGATTGATGCTCTACCAATTGAGCTACAGTGTCACTGACATTCAACCCAGTCCAGTTCCACTTATGTCTAACAAAGACATAGAGTTGTTATTTTGTAAGCTCCTTGTTTCAATTCATGAAAACAATGCTTTGTTCGGGTTCTTGCGTTTCTTTCTTCTCGATATATGAAGCCTATAATTTCGATATATATAAATACTTTTAGTCTAGCTACTTTATAGACTGCAAGTGTAGGTCTTAATATATATTATTAATTAAATGAATCCAAATAGAGAGGTTATTAAATAGATAACAGACACAAATGATAAAAGAAACACTAAATACAGTTGTATCACCAGGTTAGTCTGTCTTGCTACAGTAGGTCTCAGCTCGTAGTGCACGACCGTCCCGCTTTGTGCCCTAGCTGTGAGTGATAGGATGAGGGGTTGTGGTGTGTGAGGAAATGTGGCCGCACATGCACCTACGAGAATACTCGCGAGGCATGCACAGTGACAGGTGCTCGATGTCCATACTTGTCACACTCTCTCACTCAAGTGTGACGTAAACATACACATATGGACAGACTAGGCCGGGCCTATTTATTGATTATTTCACATAATATACACTTGTAGTCTACAATTTGTTTGCCTCTTTTTCTAGGGTTTCAATGTTAGGAATGGGTGTGTCCGTAGAAGAGACAAATTTACGCCCAGACGTCCTCAACCAATCCAATCTCAGCCTCCTTGCCAGCTCCCCAAATGTAGACCAAACTACCTCACCGAATTCCCATGGTAACGGGAATGAAGAACATCATCATCATGAAGAACATCGAATCAATCAAAAGGTAAGATATTCATTCCAGTTTGATTTCCTTAATGTCAAAACAGGACAGTCAGCAGTGTGAGTAACATAATAAGTTGTCAAAACAGGACAGTCAGCAGTGTGAGTAACATAATAAGTTGTCAAAACAGCACAGTCAGCAGTGTGAGTAACATAATAAGTTGTCAAAACAGCACAGTCAGCAGTGTGAGTAACATAATAAGTTGTCAAAACAGCACAGTCAGCAGTGTGAGTAACATAATAAGTTGTCAAAACAGCACAGTCAGCAGTGTGAGTAACATAATAAGTTGTCAAAACAGCACAGTCAGCAGTGTGAGTAACATAATAAGTTGTCAAAACAGCACAGTCAGCAGTGTGAGTAACATAATAAGTTGTCAAAACAGCACAGTCAGCAGTGTGAGTAACATAATAAGTTGTCAAAACAGCACAGTCAGCAGTGTGAGTAACATAATAAGTTGTCAAAACAGCACAGTCAGCAGTGTGAGTAACATAATNAAGTTGTCAAAACAGGACAGTCAACAGTGTGAGTAACATAATAAGTTGTCAAAACAGGACAGTCAACAGTGTGAGTAACATAATAAGACAGTTGACGGTACATGCAGTGTCTCTAGTCTAAAACATTACACAGACATTCCAAGACTTCACAATCATGCGGCCAAGTATGGCAAATTGCTGTGTGCCTGCATGCATTTTCTTATTGACAGAACTTGAGATATATCAAATTGTATTTATCACATGATTATCGGACGTGGTATTCAGTATATACACCCATGTCATGTCATGTGGACAAGTTTAGAACATATACATCATATTACAAGAAGATAGAACTGATATATATATATATATATATATTTATTTTCGTTAAATTTCAAAAAGTTGGAAATATATATAGATATATTGTGTATGAGCTTGTGTAATATGACTACTTGTGATGTCGTAAAATGATAATGAATAGACACCCAGAGTATTCTATGACAGCAATATATATATATAGGGCGCCGAGATTTTTAGACTTCACAACATTCACATTTCTAGATCATGTAACAAAAAGAATGGGTTTTTTTCCATTTTATACTCATCACACTTTTTTTTTTTCTTTTTTTTTTTTGCCAGACATTCCCTTTCTGGTTAAGATTTGGGAAAGTTTGATGTAAAGTTGACCTTAAATAAAAGAATCTCATTGATTATTCTGTGATCAAAGAATTAATAACACCGTTATAAAATACTGTTGTCCAGTTGTAAAGAAGTGCTTGCTTTAAAACAGGAAAGAGTCTTCGATTAAAATATCCAAGGATCATTTGCATCTTTTTTTTTTGTGAAAATCACCTCCAGTTTAAGTGTGTTACATTACAAACACATATTTAGAGTAAGATTAACTTTTTGATAAAAAATTAGCCATCATTTCATATTTATTGCCAGTGATTTTCAAAATACAGTATTTTGAACCTCTATATAATGTCTATCGTTTTATCTACCTCGTTTACTTACCGCCAATATATTTCACGGTCCAAATTGCTCTATTTCTTAAGAATTCCTTTATATCTTTCCCTCAGTTTATCACCAAACCCCTCTAGAATTTTATCACCAAACCCCTCTAGAATGCCTGAGTAATATTTGGCAAAATGGCTGCAGTATAATGAGGTTTTACTGTACCGTGAAATTTTACTGATAAATTACAAAATCACTTATCCGGGTAATTACATACATGAGTATGTGTACATTGTAAATAATGCCAATTGCCATCTACTGTATACATATGGCTGTAGAATGATAATGTGGCTAAATTTAGATAGACTTTAAAACTGATTGTTGACATTGTTAAAAATGAATTATATCTTTTTTACAGGTCCCAAACCATAACAAAATCATCACGTCTCTCATAGCCGGAGCAGTGGCTGGAGCTGTAGCCAAGACTGTCATCGCACCCCTCGACCGAACAAAGATCCACTTCCAGAGTAAATACGAAACATAAACCATGTCTTCAAAAACAAAAAAAATGTTTTCTGAATTCTATTTCATAATCAGCTCATTTAAAAAATGTAGAGGAAATAATCAAATAATGTTATTGTTCATTTAGTTTGAAATTCATACTTGCCAATTCTCCTTATTTTGGAGGGAGACTCCCTTATTTTGGACCCGAAATTGAGCATTTTCAACCAGTGAATTAGCTCAGTTGTTTGTATTCTCTGAGATCTGATGGTTTCATCTGAAAGAACAGCTCAAAAGATGCCATTTTAAAGGGCTATTTTTTCCCTAGGGTGTAAATCACACATTCCATTTATAATCTTAATTCTTAGCTTGCATAATCTCCCCTTGAAAACTTCAAAAAGTTGGAAAGTTCACGTGGTTTTTTTTGATGGAATGATATTATTAAATTGATAAAATACAAGAAAAGACAGAAAATTTGAAAAAAATACTTTTCATATTTTCAACTCAGCTAAACAAACTGGAGAAAATGGAACTCATTTTAGCTCTAAATGAGAAAGGGCTGAAACAGGAGTACTGTTAGGTAATAAGATATAAATCAGTGTAAAATTGGAAATGATATCACTACACTTTCTGAGTTTGAATGAAAAGCATGCTTATTGTGAACATGATATTTTATTCTTCTACTGGTATGAAATTGGCTTCAAAAAATCCAACTCTTGAACAGGTTTTGTCATGAATTCTTCGCTCTCCTTGGATTTGATATTTATAAACATGTTTTAGTGTATTTTTTATTATTTTTTATCACAGTTTCTTACAAACCGTATTCTGTGCTAGATGCGTATGTTCCTGTGCTATACTTTTTGGAGAAAATCAAACTATTAAACAAGTTTTGTCATTCTTCTATCTCCTTGGATTGGATGTAAACATGTTTTAGTGTATTTTTTATCCTTTTTTTTTGCAGTTTCTAATAAACAATTCTCTGTGCGAGATGCGTATCAGTTCCTGTGCAATACTTTTAAGAATGAAGGATTCCTGGCGCTATGGAGAGGGAATTCAGCGACGATGGCGAGAATTATCCCCTATGCAGCTATTCAGTATACCGCCCACGAACAGTACAAACGGTTCTTCATGTGCAATTCCAAGAGAAAGTATGTGATATAAATGATTGTTAACCCTTTCACCACTGTAGACCATAATGGACTCATCCCTATAAATGCATGGTAGAGTCTACTAAAGTTACATAGGGGTGAAAGGGTTAAGGAGATACGCTACCTTACTTTACGACATAAACTGTAAACATGTATGTAGTCAGTGTTTTATTTACGTGCGAGTCATGAGTCAAATACTCACATTTTTTCAATTCACCTCCTTGGATATTTAAAAATTAATTATCTGTTTTACATAGGATGACTCAATGATTTTACAGAACATGTCGGGAAGTGACTCGCTTTGTGAATTTTACAGAACATGTCAGGAAATGACTCGCTTTGTGAATTTTACTGAACACGTCGGGGAAATGACTCGTTTTGAGAATTTTACAGAACATGTCGGGAAATGACTCGTTTTGTGAATTTTACCGAACATGTCAGGAAATGACTCGCTTTGTGAATTTTACTGAACACGTCGGGGAAATGACTCGTTTTGAGAATTTTACAGAACATGTCGGGAAATGAGTCGCTTTGTGAATTTTACAGAACACGTCGGGGAAATGACTCTTTTTGTGAATTTTACAGAACATGTCGGGAAATGACTCTCTTTGTGAATTTTACAGAACACGTCGGGGAAATGACCCGTTTTGGGAATTTTACAGAACATGTCGGGAAATGACTCGATTTGTGAATTTTACAGAACACGTCGGGGAAATGACCCGTTTTGGGAATTTTACAGAACATGTCGGGAAATGAGTCGCTTTGTGAATTTTACAGAACACGTCGGGGAAATGACTCTTTTTGTGAATTTTACAGAACATGTCGGGAAATGACTCGCGTTGTGAATTTTACAGAACATGTCGGGAAATGACTCGTTGTGTGAATTTTACAGAACATGTCCGGAAATGACTCGCTTTGTGAATTTTACTGAACACGTCGGGGAAATGACTCGTTTTGGGAATTTTACAGAACATGTCGGGAAATGACTCGATTTGTGAATTTTACAGAACACGTCGGGGAAATGACTCGTTTTGGGAATTTTACAGAACATGTCGGGAAATGACTCGATTTGTGAATTTTACAGAACACGTCGGGGAAATGACCCGTTTTGGGAATTTTACAGAACATGTCGGGAAATGACTCGCGTTGTGAATTTTACAGAACATGTCGGGAAAAGACTAGCTTTGTGAATTTTACAGAACATGTCGGGAAATGACTCTCTTTGTGAATTTTACAGAACACGTCGGGGAAATGACTCGTTTTGTGAATTTTACAGAACATGTCAGGAAATGAATCGCTTTGTGAATTTTACAAAACACATCGGGAAATGACTCGCTTTGTGAATTTTATAGAACATGTCGGGAAATGACTCGCTTTGTGAATTTTACAGAACACGTCGGGGAAATGACTCGTTTTGTGAATTTTACAGAACATGTCGGGAAATGACTCGCTTTGTGAATTTTACAAAACACATCGGGAAATGACTCGCTTTGTGAATTTTACAGAACATGTCGGGAAATGACTCGCTTTGTGACTTTTACAGAACATGTAGGGAAATGACTCGCTATGTGAATTTTACAGAACGTGTCGGGAAATGACTCTCTTTGTGAATTTTACTGAACACGTCGGGGAAATGACCCGTTTTGGGAATTTTACAGAACACGTCGGGAAATGACTCGCTTTGGGGATTTTACAGAACATGTCAGGAAATGACTCGCTTTGTGAATTTTACAGAACATGTCAGGAAATGACTCACTTTGTGAAAAAGGTAGATAAAACACTGGCGTAGTTGACATTATTTGCATTGGATTCAATTTAGCTACGGTCGTCAGAGATTGTTTGAAATAAACATAACCTCCCTGGATATAGCATGGACTCGGTGAAATGTGCAGAGGCATGTTTACCTGTTAATGTGTACTATATCTGTCATCTAAGCAGAAGTCTGCTTATATTCAAGTATGTTTGTAGTGTTATTTAACCCTTTCACCACTATAGACCATAATGGATTCATCCAGATCAATGCATGGGAGAGTCTACTGTAGTTATGTGGGGGTGAAAGGGTTATCTTGATTACAATGTGTTGGCCCAAGACGAATCTACAACCTTTATTATGATGACCGCCCCAAATATTGCTAGTACAATGTAAATTGATGTGTGCACAATTTTGTGTAATGGTTCAAAAATGGCTGACATGTGACATGGTACAAAAGCATACAGTAGTAATGGGAGAATTTGTAATTTTCCGTTGTAACCTTGTCCACACTAGGCCACAGAGGTTGAATTATATTCAAGAATACTTGGATTATATAAAAGAAAACATACGTGTTTAGAACAGAAAAATAGGATTTTTTAGATCTTTTAACCCTTTCACCACTGTAGACCATACTAGACTCATCCATATCAATACATGGGAGAGTTTACTAAAGTTACTTAGGGGTGGAAGGGTTAATGAATGTGTCCGTTTAAATGTTTCTGTCAGGAGACCTGCATTTTTTGTTTGAATAGAGTGCAAGACTGATTAGGATCTTGAGATTTGGAGACAGGAAGGCCCTCTATCTTACACATGAGTGTGATTTATTTTTGAGATCATGTACCTTTATTATGTAATAGGAAAGAGAGAAGTGTGCTTCCACCGGGGATCTAACCTGTGATCCCTAGGTTCCTAGTCGGATGCTCTACCACTGAGCAAAAGGGAAATTCCCTGTAGTGCAAAGCTAGAAGGCGACCGTAATCCTTTTTACAGTTTCACTACCTTTCCCCCCCCCCCCCTCCCATCATTTTTTAAATGTGTTTGCCCCCCGAATACCACAACAACCAAGGTTTTGTCACCATAGGGAGGGCCATGGACATCATTTGTTACAGGGAAGAGAGTAGTGTGCTTCACCCAAGGATCAAATTTAAACTGCGATCCCTAAGTTCCTATTCGGATGCTCTACCACTGAGCAAAAGGGAAATTCCCTGTAGTGCAAAGCTAGAAGGCGACCGTAATCCTTTGAATATTTAAAATCTGCCATGCTACTCCCCACTTTTTAAATGCATTCGCCCTCGAAGACAACAACAACTCCTTTCACCATAGGGAGGGCCATGGACACCATTTGTTACAGGTAAGAGAGTAGTGACTGTACACTTGCTTCCACCAGGGATCAAACCTGTGATCCCTAGGTTCCTAGTTGGACGCTCTACCACTAAGCTAAAGGGAAATTCCCTCTACTGTAATCATACGTACAATTAAAATCTGACACAATTATAATACTGATTTAACACATTTTTTTCAGTTTTCTTTATTACTTTTTTGTAGACACCTCCCGCCTATCAAACGGTTTATGGTGGGTTCTATGGCCGGTGTCACCGCCTCCTCTCTGACATATCCCTTAGATCTAGTCCGAGCTCGAATGGCCGTCACAGCTAAGGACAGGTATGTCAAAACTACATGTCACTACTAAACACAGGTGTATCTTAATTATATGGACGTCACAGCTAAGGACAGGTATGACAAAACTACATGTCACTACTAAACACAGGTGTATCTTAATTAAATGGCCGTCACAGATTGAAAACCGGGGTCCAAGATAAATATTTGGGGTCCTCATAAAGGATTATTTTTAAGTATTCATTACTTAAAGTCATATACATAATTAAAATTTTCAGACTAGATTTTTTGAAGTTGTCATTTCAGGGAGTCATGGGACACATGTGTTAAGTTTTTTATGGGTTCTGGAATGGAAAATGGGGGTATTTGAGGCAGAATTCTGCTTAATGTGAAACCCTGTGTTCAGGTGTTAAAATGACCCCGGGCATTTCAATTTTCTGACCTTGATTAAACTTAGAAACAGCAATAAATGTGACCCATAAAAGTTTGATTTATAAATGAGATATCAGTAGTGTTATTAAAGAAAACATCCAGACTTTGCCGTCAGTTCAACGAATTGAGAAATTTGAATCTTTGAAGATCTTTTAATGAAAGTTTGACTGATTTTTAATATTACGCAGATACCACAACTTGTTTGAAGTGTTCCTGAAGATTAAGGCAGAGGAGGGCCTGAGGACGCTGTACCGCGGTATTGTTCCCACACTGTATGGCTCCGTGGTCTACTCCGGCCTCGGGTTCTGTACATACGAAACTCTCAAGAAGTGGCATGCAGGTAAACTTTCATCACGTTTTCCCAGGCATTTTTGTTATTCTTGTGAATTTTCTTAATTTGGTGGTGAATTCCTTGATATTTTCTTGCAAAAATTAACCAATTTCTCCTTATCATCAAATTCCTGAATAGCTCTGAACAATTAGTCTATCTTGACTTCTAATAGTCACAGCAAAAATTATTAACTCACTCACCCCCGCAATTTCATAATGAAGTATTCCAACCTTTGAATTGGAAGGGTTCAAATGTGTTTTAAGGGGTGAATTAGTTAAGAACATATTATCTGTTTTAAGCACAGAGTTTTATATGTGCAACATTATAAAGGATTTCCTTGTCACCTTCCACTTGTCTCTGTATTTCTACATAGAGTTTGGATCATGTTAGACATGAAATTTCATTCTTTTGACCTGAAGTACCTACTACCCATGAATCCTATAGGGACGGAATGGCCATAAAGTGGAGTAAACTGTTAACCTTGTTTGGCTTTTTGTATCCACAAGCTTAACCTCCTTCATATTTCTTGTGATTATATTTAGAATACAACAAAGGGAAGGATCTGACCTTAGGAGAACGTCTGTGCTTTGGAGCATGTGCTGGACTTCTGAGTCAGTCTGCCTCCTATCCCCTGGACATCATACGGAGGAGGATGCAAACTGCAGGTAACATGTTAGCAACATTCCGCAGACGTGTATAGCCAGGTAACATGTTAGCAACATTCCGCAGGTGTGTATAGCCAGGTAACATGTTAGCAACATTCTGCAGACGTGTATAGCCAGGTAACATGTTAGCAACATTCCGCAGACATGTATAGCCAGGTAACATGTTAGCAACATTTCGTAGACGTGTATAGCCAGGTAACATGTTAGCAACATTCAGCAGACGTGTATAGCCAGGTAACATGTTAGCAACATTCTGCAGGTGTGTATAGCCAGGTAACATGTTAGCAACATTCCGCAGGTGTGTATAGCCAGGTAACATGTTAGCAACATTCTGCAGACGTGTATAGCCAAGTAGGAATTAAAATTAGAAAAAGTAAACCTATCTGTATCAAAAAAAAAAAAAAAAGAGTAGAAACTGCTTATTTTAAAATCTAGACTAGTTCAGTTTAGGGCTGTTAACAGTATAATATTGAGGATGTAATATAGTCATCGCTTTGTCAGCATCCTCGATATCCAGATTTTGCTACGACATAGTCCAGGGGTGCAGAGAGCGAAAGTGAGCGTAACCCCTGGATATTGAGTGCTAAAGATGTCGGTGACTCAACTGAAAACTGACAATGAGATTGACCATTTGCAATTGATTTTAGGTGTCGTAGTGTTAACGATATCTCGTGAACCCCAGATTTGGTCTAGTTCATATTGACACCATACAGAGTAGTATGGTAATGGTGAGTTCTACACAGAATTATGTTTTGGTGGTCATCTGTCAAGTTTAAGGAGTCAAAGAAGGTTCATGATATTCTTACTTTGGTATCTATGTAATTCATGCAGTCTATGAAGTAAAGATGTCTTTATAGACAGAAATTTCAATAGACCAGACTGTTTAGTGATACAATTATAACATAAATTAAGAAATGTCTGTATTAAAAAAAAAAAATGTAAATTAGTTTAACTCATTCACCCCTGAAGACATATTTGAACTCCTCCAATTCAAAGGATGGAATAGTTCATTATGAAATTTCGCAGGTTAATGATCATGAATTAACAGAAAACTTTTTCGCTAACTACTACCTATGTTTATCATTGAATAGTACGCATCATAAGAAACAACTTCAGAGACAACTTGATCTATGAAGTAAATGATTCGTGGTGATTGTCCATCGTTTTAACACTAAGTTTGAACACTTTGCAGTGGTTATGATATGAAACCATAAGGTAGTATATCAGAACTGGACTGGCGCAGCGAATTTGACCAGGTAGCTCAATTGGTAGAATGTCTGTCTAGAGTTAGGAGGGTCCCGGGCTCAAACCCCAATCTGGCCGTTGCATTTATCTTTCTCCTGTTACAAAATTGGCTAGCTTGCCAACCCATGTTTCAAGCACTGGTAGAATGCTTAGCAAGCCAAGGGGACATCTGAACCCGAGTTGTAAATAGTTGTGTCTTCGGGGGGCGAAGACTTGGAGAAAGAAGGAAGGAATGTAGCGGAACTGAACTGAGTTGATCGTCGGCAACAGGTAGCTCAATTGGTAGAGTGTCCGTCTAGAGTTCGGGGGGTACCGGGTTCGAATTCCGATCTGACTATCGTATTTCCCTTTCTCCTGTTACAATAGAATAAATAGTTTGAAGTTCTAATTGAAGATATTGAAGCCTTGAAACTGAACTGTGATCAGCTTAAGGATCTCTGTACCAAAAACTATAATTAAGTATTGGAACCTCATTTCTCACAGCAAATAGTTTTGAGAAATCATTTCTGAAAAGAAAAGCATACCTTGCAGACTTTCATGAGAAATAATAAAGATGAAATAAACAAAATTTTATCAACAACAGTGTGTTAAGGTAATAGGATTGTGTCACCATTTCTCAGTAGAATTTCTTCAAGTTTTGTAGTTATATTGCTTTGAAGTAAAGAAAAATTTCCNATATTAGTATTGCATTAATGTATATCAATTTAATAAATGCTGAAATTGTGTAAAATTAATTCTCTATACACGATTTAAAAATTGACATTTTATAATAAAACCATATACACATAGTAATTGCATGTAAGAGTTATCGTTCTTGAAAAACTTCACAGTAGTGAAATAGGTAGCCGGTTTCCTGAAGTACAGAAAAATGGACACATGTGACTCATTGATAAAAAAACAACTGAATTAATGCCTGGATTGCTTTGAAATACTTTAATAGTGAAAGAACATACTGTTCTGTCAATAATAAACATACAATATTCATCAGTTTGATATTAAACATTAGAATTGTGATACTGTCTCCCTACATTGGATTTTCAACTAGGGATGTAATTCCTATTTCCGTTTAGCAATACACTCCAATGACCTTAAGAACTCGCTTCAAAAAGTTCACATGACCTATGACCTTCAGTAGACCTGGATTGGAACCCTGATCTTTTGACTGCTTTACTATCGCTCTAACCAACTGAGTCGATGGAAGTGTTCTGGCCCAAGTGTTCTACAGTTATATCCAAATGGAAGTTAAGGGGAGGTAACTGCATATAGGAAAAACACAGTGAAGTTGGACAGGCATCCTTAAAACATTGATTGAAGAAACCAGTTTAAATCAAGCGAGTCAGACTTCTTACCTACATATTTAAAGATTGAGATCTTTTCGTCCCCAAATGTCTCTAATAATTCACTGTACCAGATAAAACTGCAAATGAGTGCCAGCTATCACGAGGGAAACTTCAGGGGGATCCAGTTACTAGATTGTTCGATTAGTTTTTCGCCTCTTTACTGTAACAATTACGCAGTTTGATCATTCTAAAATAATATCCACAGTTCTAGATGGAGTGTCTAGGACAGGAACAGGGCCTTAAAATGATAATTCTGTCTTTGCGTATTGCAGAGTTATCGGCTCTTGTGAGCAGGTATTGATTGTTACGTCTTTTGTTTGTGAGAGTAACGTCATAATTTTTTGAGAAAACGACGTAATTTTCTCACACCAACTAATGACATAACAATCAATACCTGCTCACAAGAGCAAATAACTCTGCAATACGAAAAAAGAGGGAATAGAACAGTCCCAACACATAAAGCGATGTGATCAGCAATTATTAGTTTGCTGATAAGGATATCTATTTACAGATAGCAGTTTTTCAATTTCACACAGGGCTTTCCCTATTCCCTTGAAAGTATATTTGTGACTTCCCAACATGAGCTTTGACTCTTGGGTTACAAAGGACAGCTTGTCTCTTAAAAACCAGTGAAAAATCCTATTTGACTTCTGAAATTGCAAATAAAAATAGCTAGTGTCAACTGAATGCCTTATTAATAATAATTGTTTAGAATGTTTAGAGATTTTTTTTGGAAACAAGTTAAATGGTGTGTCTTTTCACTGAAGAGAACTCATGATTCTTATATAAGATGGAGTAATTAAGTTGACTTTTTTCCATTTTAGGTGTAACAGGTCATTCAAACGACTACCGGAGCGTCACTGAAACATTTAAACGTGTGGTAAAGGAAGAGGGGTTCCGAAGAGGTCTGTACAAAGGCCTCAGTATAAACTGGGTAAAAGGACCTATAGCTGTGGGCGTCAGTTTTGCTACCTTTGACGTCACAACGCTATGGCTCCGGCGCAGGAAAATGTTTCACATAGACGAATTAGATGGAGACTAAGGAAAATTCATCAACATTTAGGATTCAAACAAATTGTAAAGACATTTTTAATGAAGTATATTTAGTTTTATATTATTCTGACCTTAATTATAAGATATATGCGCAGCATAAGTATATATTGGATATGTGTGACTGTTCGGTATCAGAAAGATGGTATTCTTTTATCTTCTTATCTTTCTCTTAATCCTATTGTTTACCTCTAAATTCTTGTTTAAAGTTTCCTTGATATTTCTTGGGTCAGTCCTTTATGAAGCAGTTTTTAAAATGGCCTGGTTTACTATATAGCTAGTCGATCGTATTTGATACTACAGTAAATCAGGGACGCAAGAAGCTCAGTAAAACTAAGACAAATGTTTGATTTTCCTCAGGAATTGTCTTGCAAGTGGATGCAAGCAATTGACTATAAACTTGTCCTACTGTCATGTGAATCGTGCTTGATCCCATGTTGATTTTGTTTGATTCCCATTTTAACCCTTTCACCCCTATGTAACTTAAATAGACTCTTTCATAAATTGATATGGATGAGTCTATTATGGTCTACATGGTCTTATGAAAGGGTTAATCTTGCTTGATTCAAATGCCAATTTTATGTTATTCCAATGCACGTCTCGTTTGATTCCCATGCCAATATTTTTTTATTCCTATGTAAGGTTTTATTTGTTGCGTTAATTTTTTTCTTTCTAGTTTTACCCAATCTTGCTTGTTATTGTTCATGGGTAGAAAAACAAATCTGCTCAATTTTGTAAGTTCATACGTAGAAAAATACATTTCATCACCTACCGACCCCTGTTATCAGTGTCGTAACACCCATTACTTAAATTGTGTTATGAACATATGTTTAACACCTTCACCCCTGAAGACACATTTTGAAATTTCAGGGGTGAATGAGGCGAGATAAAACAATTAAAATGTTCCAACTCAATGAGTTAATACCATCCAGTGGAGCTTTGATTCACAGTATGTTCCCACTATTTCAACTGTGATGACACAGACTTCCAAAACGATTCTGACGTCAAAAAAGAAAAATCTTGCATGCAGTCAAAATGTTGATACATTAGATTTCAAGTCAGTGTTAGAAAATGTTGTTTGCACAAATATTTGCAATAAATCTTGGATATTTGATACACAGATCTTAATTTTACACTGAATTTGTTTCCGTTTCATATATAAGATTCACAGAACTCCTCACAATTGCTAATTGCTAGCTATCAAATGCTCATTAAAGTAATGGAAGGTCTTATATTGGTTTCTCAAATCTCATAAAAAATGGAAAGTTCCAGGTTTAGACACTAAATTTGTATGCTTGGTAGTCCACAGGACTATATTTGAATAGATTACTTACTAGTCCTTCGTCAATGTAACCAAGTCCAAGATTTCCTGATAAGGAAACATCGCGATCTACAGCACGAAATATCAAAGTTAGTTGACTGTAGGGGACTTTAAATAGCTGTCATAAAAAAAAGTTTTTGAAAATTTTTGACAATTATCATGCAATATATCGTATTTAAAGCAGTTTTCTAAATTTGAAAAAGGAATATTCTTATTTAATTATCATATTTTTCACAAGTCCAAAGGACCAGTTAGGTTAGGTGATTCACTAGTCCTTGCTGAAATCTACTAGTCCAGGACTAGCCGACTAGTGTTAGTGTCGAACCCTGCTATCCAAAATCAGTTGTTTGTTTGTTTGTTATGTTCTTTTTTAATTTTGCTATTCCATTTCCCCCTGTTCCTCCTCCCGAAACATTAGTTTCATACCTTTTGATGATATTTCACAATTAAGTATGTTAAAAGTCCTGACTGATGTTTTCAAAAAACAGTTTTCATTTTTTTTTCTTTTTCTAATTGCAATTGTTTTTTGTTTGTGTTGAAAATAAGAAATCCAATTTTCATAAATCATGATATTCCTCCCCGAAATACTGGTCCTTTGTTGTTACTGTTCATCTACATTGATCATTATAGCTGATGTGTTCTATAAGCCCCGGGATCATAAATCAATCTTAGACTTAGGGATATATGCTACCTATCATATTATTTTCTTTGTAAAAGATCTCTAACATGGATATGATGTAGAAGGTAGCATGTGTCCTTTAGTCCAAATATTGATTGTAGACAAAATAATTACTTCATCTCAGAAATCAGTTCAAATAAAACTGCAATTATACATTTTAACAATTTTTAAAATGAAATTTCAAGAAAGCATTGAATATTTGACTAACTCAAGTATTTGGACACAAGTCAAGATTTTTCTTTATCCAGGGGTCAGCTATATAGTCATTTAAGGTTTTTCAGTGCTGTGAATTGAAAAATAAACCAAGGATATTACATTTTTCTGAAGATATTAAGGTGCTTTTGGTCGATCAATCACCATCATTATTACATAAGTGTATAAGAGTAATCTTGATTGAAAGGTTCATTACCCAATCAAAATCAATGTAACAGCTACTAGCTATAGCTTGGTTATTAATAGTAAAATTACCATAATTGTGATTTGCCAATTTTTTTTCAGTAAGAAAGACATTCGTTTATAGATTTAACAATAATTCTGATTCCTACATAAATAGGCAAAAATAGTTACATTCCTTCTACTATTTCAAAAGAAAATTGTATTACAGTAAACCTTCGGTTATTTTGAACAAAATCAAATAAATATTGTCAATCCTGTTCGAATTACACTAAATTATAACCGCTAAATAAAAAGTAGTTTGAACTATCCAAGTCGACATCGGTAAAAATCACAGCAAACAGTCAAGTCATTGGTACGGAACAACGACGGCCTTATTGCGATATATACTTGCAAATTTGGAGATGAATAGTGGTAGATAATCAATTAAAAAGAACAATTGCAAAGCAGAGACAAGTATGTAGGCCGCTAAGCGGTAGATGTATATGATACTTTGAATACTTTTTGATACAATGACTTGCTATTTCGTTTCCCTCCCTGCTATTTCGTTTCCCTCCCTGCTATTTCGTTTCCCTTACTGTTATTTCGTTTCCCTCCCTGCTATTTCGTTTCCTTCCCTGCCTTACATTTGCCCCCATTAACTCATTCATCCCTGAAATTCTTATTGAACTATTCACACCTTTGAATTGGAAGAGTTCAAATGAGTCTTCAGGGGTGAATGAGTTAAGCACCTACGTCAAGGTAAACAGTGACGATCTAGATCATGGCAAATATTAAATGCTGATTAAGGTCAGTGTGAACATTCAGTGCTGATGAGGTGAAGGTCTATATTCTGTGGTGATATACCGCCCGCCCCCTTTCCATTACACATACAATGAATATCTAGTCTGTCCACACGATCAAAGGTTAAAGCATTGTTTCGTTTAATAGGATACGATGTCCTTAGCAACAATGATCTAGTTCTTATACATTTGTCTAATGTATTTATTTTTACTTAAACTCGGTGGTACATGTATATGGTAAGTTTGTATCACCCTGAATAAAGTGAAACTTATTGTGTCACAATGTAGTACTGATTCTTTTAGCTGTGGTTTTCTACCCTAATCTTATCATGGCCCGAAGCTTTATACCATAAAAATATCTTTATTACATTTGAAGTATACTTGAATTTCTTACAGGTGTGCAGTACACTGTGATAAGGTCAATGTGACATTCACCGTAAGGTCAAAGTTCAAATACGTGCTAAATTTCCAGCGAAATATTGTCAATTATGGATACGAATTTTGATATGAGGTATTCATAAATATGCTCCGAGTATTATCGTTACTTTCTGCTCACACTGTAAATCTGTTTAAAGTAAAAAAATATATATACTTTTCTCCAAATATAAATTTCAAAGTATCCAGATAATAATTTAATCCAAAATGTATCCAAGTTAGCAAATCTGAGAAAGAATAATGCTAGAATTTGTGCAAATGTTCATTAAGTTACGAAAATTATAAGATAGTCAATGGATGTTACAGTGTGATTGTACTCTTCAATTAGAAATATGTTTCAAGTTTGATTTGAATGAATGAAATAAAAGAACGTTAGATCATTGCAAAAGACTTTTTTATTCGTTCTACAAATAATTATAAAACATCTGCTGTGATCTGGGAAACTATATCAACAAAAATGAACAACTCGTATCTTCGATAGCAGATTTTAATCCTGCTACATGCATGTGCGTGAATATGTTGGTAGGAGGCCAAAACCACTTTTACTACCATTCTGTCACTGCATGGTAAAGACCTTTCAAAAAGGGATCCTGATAGATGAAAACTGTCAAATATTAATTATTTGTGTACTTACACTAGTCAATAGGGGGCATGGTACTATTAACTATGTTTAACTTAAATTGATTCATCAATTGACACATCAATGGAGACCTACCAAAAATAATCATTCATATATCTTACACGTATTATAAACAGGCAAGGTAATGTTTGGTTTGCTGTCGAAATACTGTAAAAGTGGATTTTTTGTCGTGTGGAAATGTTCACGTTATGATCCTTTAAACTGATCGCGTTGGCAATAATTCTGAAATCTAGATATTCTATTTATCTATAATCTATGAAATATATGAATTAAATATTCACGTTCGGATATTTTTATCGCTAATTTACTCAACGCAAAAAGTGAAGATTTTTGTCACACCACGAAAATGTTCATTTCTGCAGTAACCGACAGGTTGCATAAGGTGACATCATTTTGTTGTTAACTTGCATTATATTATTAGGAGATACGTTAAGGGATAGTTATCTTACATTTGTCATTAAGGTAATTCGAGATCCCTTGACGGATTGTTTACCGTCTTCTGTTGTGACGGGCTGACAACAACGAGAGCGAACAGTGATAGATCAGAATGTTATAACAGAGACACGTTATATATGAACTATTTACAACTGAAGAACGCATTGCTATCTCACTTACAATATTTGAGGATTTTAATTGTAATATCTCCCTCATCATCTTCCATCTGTGACCACAGTGTATTCCCAGACCCTATGCATATCGCACCTTTATATCCTGCACCTGAGTGCAATGTTCTCAGGTACTGGCCAGTCCCACTTAATAATTCTATTGTCTTCCTCTTCATATCCGCTATAATCAGGTTTCCAAAGGAATCGTAGTCAACTGACCATGGACCGAATGTTTCTGGTGTAACAGGCTCCTGTCCCCGGATATCTTCTCCTCTGTAGGTAAATAGTTGATCGAGTGTTCTGTCATACACGCCGATATGCATTGTTGAGTTATATGGGATATCTTCTTCACTTTCCTCATTTTCAATACCGTGTACCACAGCAACGTTTCCTGTCACTGAACAGTTGGAAATTCTGAATGGAGGTAAGAAATCTGATTTTTCTTCATTGGTGATGGTGTGTAGAACAGATCCTGTGGTGTTGTGTAAAGTTAAACTGCTCTTTGTACCCACCATAACGCCATCGTTGGTTATGTGTAGACAGCTCGGTTTGTCATTTGCTTTGAACTGTGGTACAGGTGTTGCTGGTTCTTGTAATTCATATATAGTTCTATCATCACTACAGAACCAGAGATGACCCGTTTCAGGGGACACACATATATCACGGGCATCATTGTGAAGTTCAATTTTCTGTTTGGTTTCACCTTTATCATTTATCTGAAGTACTGTTTTCCCGCCAGCATCCAGAATCCAGGGGCAACCTTCTGGAGTTAGGCATATTGACCAAGCCATCGCTGGGACTGAAAACTGTGATACAACAATTGGGTTATCGAGCAGAACATATAAAGGAGGCTGACCTGGTGATTTCCCAGCGTGAGTGCCTGCTTTCTCGATGTCAGTGTGACCAGCAGAGCTCTCTTGGCATTGGTCTAATTTACCGATGGTGGATGTAGCAGCCGCTAGTGTTTGTGAATGGCCGGTAGAACCAGTGGTAAATTTACCGATTGCCTGTTTGAGATGATCAGTGATTGTTGTACAAGGTGTGTATTGGCAGGTTTGTAATACAGGTGGGTTGGAATCTGTGTAACTTCCAAGTGTATCGAAGTCAGTGTCAAATATCTCAACATCTGTGCTTGTCTGTAGAGCCTTCTTACATTCTTCTACTTCTGCTAATACAACGTCATATCTGTGCTGTTTGTCTTTCTTATAATGTCGTAATAACTCAAAATTACTTCTCTCCATTTCATCACGAATAGAAGTGAAACCTGCTATCAGTTCATCTATTTCTTGTTTACATTTTACACCTTGGAGCTTCATATTGGAAGAAACTGTCTTGAATTCTGAAGAAGTTTCTGTCATTAGGTGTTCTTTTGCTATGAGATCATCTTTAAGAAGAGGAAGTGTGTTCTTTTCTGATAGGTTGACGAAATCCAACATGACCGTTTTTTTCTCCTGAGCAACGACGCTAAGTTCCTCTAGGTTGTGAGTCTTGTGAACAGATTTTATACTGCAAGTTGTACACATAAGAATTTTACAATCCTGACAAACATAAACAACATCTCTCAGTCTGTGGTTTGGACACTTCGTACTACCTTTCTGTCTGACAGCTTCCTGGTGAGAGCCTGATATTGCAGCAGCCATATCTCGTTTTGTGTATCAATATCTACTGTTCAGCCATTTTGTCAAATAAACCAGGAAGGCGTTCGTTATCTGTATTCATACCGAGGTTCGACGTTATGGCCTGTCTATTATGTGTCATTATATTTTGCCTTTAAAGTAAATAGAATTGACTTTTGTGTGGTCGAAGTATTTACAAGCTCTTCCCTGTATAGATACTTTTGTCAGGTTAACTTAACAATACTTCGATATTAACTGCATATTATATAGGTGTATATGATATTCTATGGATCAAATATACTTCGAAAGTTCTGAACTTTACAGGACTAAACGACATTTGATATATTCCTTTCCGTGTTAATAAATATGTTAGTGAGAGGCGCACAATACTTGTTAAGGCCATTCTGTCACTGGTAAAGACCTTTCAAAAGAATTTTTGATCGATGAAATGTTAGATGCGCAATATATAGACCATTTACAAGGACAAACACTGTTATTTATTCACTTATGATATTGAATAAGTTTTTCAGGTCACCTGAGACAAAGTCTTAAGTGACCTATTGCGATCGCCTTTTGTCCGTCGTCGTCCGTCGTCCGTCGTCCGTCGTACGTCGTCCGTCGTGCGTCCGTAAACAAGTTACATTTTCGACTTCTTCTCCAAAACCACTGAACCAATTTCAATGAATTTTGCAGAAACCTTCCATGGCCAAAGGTCAACAAAAATAGTGGCCGGTTTAGTCCCAAGCCCCCAGGGGCCTGAGAGGCGGGGCCAAAAAGGGTCAAATTGACCAAAATTTCAAAATCTTCTGAAGACCCAGATGTGGTAGAATCAAATACTCTTCATATATTGAAGGGTCTTAGGTGCTTTACAAAAATTGTTAATTTATGACCCTGGTGTCTCACGTTTCCCCCTGGTGAGGGGGTAAACTTTACTATAGTTTATATAGGGAAATCACATTTTGGACCAACATTTGTTCAATTTCCATTGGAAGTAATTCAATTTGGGTTAGCATTATCAGTATTAGGTAGCAGTTTGATAGTATGCACATATGAGCCCTGACTGACCCACAGGGGCTGATGGTTTGGGCGAAAAAGGGTTGAATTGACTGAAATTTCAAAAATCTTCTTCCCAAGACCCACATATGGTAGAATCAAATACTCTTCGTAGATGGAAGAGTCTTAAGGTGCTTTATCAAAATTGTGAATTTCTTAACCCTGGGGTCTCATGTTTCCCCCTGGGGAGGGGGTAAACTTTACTATAGTTTATATAGGGAATTCACATTTTGGACCAGCATTTGTTTAATTTCCATTGGAAGTATTTCAATTTGGGTTAGCATTATGTTAGCATCACAGTATTAGATAGCAGATTGATAATAAACACATATCATCCCTGACTGACCCCCAGGGGCTGATGGTTTATAATGGCAAATGATACTTTGAATATTACATGTTAACAACTTGATTGGAATTATAACCTTGAGTTGACAGTTTGAATTTTGAGCCAGCCCTACCCCCAAGGGCTGTAGGGTTGGGCTCAAAGGAGTCAGTGTGCTAAAATTTCTTCATTTTCCTTGTTTAGAATCAGAGGTGCTAGTTTCAAATACTTTTAAGTCTGAAATCAGTATGCTAGATATTGAATAAGGTGGTTTTATTGTTTTTTGTCACTTTGAATAATATTTCTGTTCATGTTAAAAAAAAAATTAAATCTCTGTTTAAATATATCAGGTGACCGTTAAGGCCCATGGGCCTCTTGTTTATTTTGAATTTTTTTTTATCATCATCTATCATTTGTGACCACAGTGTATTTATTACCCGATCCCTTGCCAATCACAGGTAGGCCTACTGGTCATTCGAGTAGGGTCTGTCGGCATACATCAGCGCTGGTCCTTTTTGCGCGCCCGAGAGTTCGTTATTTCACTTTTTTCTTCCGATTCTTAAATATTGTTCACTTACCTAGGTGTGTGCAAAATATTAGGTTTATCATAACAGTAGAATGTACCGAAATACGTCGATAAATACTATTTTTAAGAGGGCGGATCGAGTGTCCACGGTGGTGTTCGCGCGCCCGAAAATTCGTTAATCAATAAAAAAAATATACCGAAATATAAGAAATATCCTAATAAAAATATGCGAACTATTTCATTACATGCATTACTTAAGGGAAGTAACTCGTATGGACCTACCTGTAGAACTCTTAGCCATTCATAAACAAAATAAGAATGTTACCGGGCTCTGCGACGAGGACGCAGTTCTACATAAGAGCCCATTTAATTAGCTCACCTGGCACGAAGTGTCAAGTGAGCTTATGCCATGGCGCGGCGTCCGTCGTCCGTCCGTCGTCCGTCCGTCCGTCCGTTCGTCCGTCCGTTCGTCCGGCGTCCGGCGTCAATATTTTACTTTAAGCAAACTGAGATGAAGGGCTACACAGTTTGTTAAAATAAATGACCTTGATCCATTTTCAAGGTCACAGGGGTCAAATATGTTAAAAAATTTAAACATCTTCTCGATAACCAAACTGCCAAGGGAGATGCTATTTGGCCAGTAGCATGTTTGGGTGAAGGGCTACCAAGTTTGTTCAAAGGAATGACCTTCAATTATAATCAAAGTCTCAGGGGTCAATTGTCTTAAAAAAACTTTAAACAACTTCTTCTCAATAACAAAAATGCCCAGGGTGATGATATTTGGCCAGTAGCATGCTGAGATGAAGGGCTCCAAATGTTGTTCAAATGGATGACCTTCATCCATATTCAAGGTCACAGGGGTCAAATATGTAAAAAAAACTTTAAACAACTTCTTCCCAATAACTAAAATGCCAAGTGTGATGATATTTGGCCAGAAGCATGCTTGGATGAAGGGCTACCAAGTTTGTTTAAATATATGACCTTCACCCATATTCAAGGTTACAGGGGTCAAATATGTTAAAAACTTTAAACAAGTTCTTCTCAATAACCAAAATGCACAGGTTGATAATATTCAGTCAGTAGCATACTAAAATCAAGGGCTACCAATTAAGTTTGTTGAAATGTATGACCTTGAATCATATTCAAGGTCACAAGGAGCAAATATGTTCAAAATATTTAAACAAGTTGTTCTGAATAACCAAAAGACTCAGGATGTTGATATTTAATCAGTAGCATGCTGGGATCAAGGACTACTATGTTTTGTTAAAGTGAATGACTTCGACTTATATTCAAGGTCACAGGGGTCAAATTTGTGAAATATTTAAACGACCTCTTCTGAATAACCATGGGTCCCAGGATGTTGATAATTTGCAAGTTGCATCCTGAGATGAAAGCTTATACAATGTGTAACACATAATGACTTTGTTCGACTTTCAATCACAGGGGTGAAATGTTTAAAAAAACAAAATTGAATGAATTTTAATTATAAATTCTGATAATTTGCCTGTAGCTTTATCTTAGATCACTATTAAGGTTACAAGTGTGAGATTTATACCAGGTGAGCGATGAAGGCCCATTGGGCCGCTTGTTTTATTTTATTTTATGATTTAATTTTTAACTAATTGCCATCAATTTCAAATAATTACATTATGTTTTCAATATTTGTTGTATATATTATTTCTGTCTCTAATTTTAATCTAATCTAATGTTCTAATATATGTATATTAAAATAGTATTTTTTGTTTAATTAGTTTGTTGTACATAATTAATAATAATGGTTAACATTTACATCAATTTAGTTCCAGTTGATTTTATATAAAATGATATTCATTTGATCAAATTGAATTCTCAATTTTACAAACAATTAAAAAAGTTATTTTTTCAAAAAGTAACGTTATACATATTACTGAACTATTTGTTAATTCATTGATTAAGTTATAAGTACATATCATAATATGTAATTAATAATGAAAGATTATTTTGAAATCGAAAGATTGAAAACAATAATTATCTGGATTTATTTATCTTATATAATACATTAGTGATGCACAGAGTAGGAGATTCCAGCTTTTTATTTAATTAATGGTTTATATTTGTGTTTTGTTTTTAAATTTATAGGTGTTTATTTCAGCGTAACAACACAGATCATCACTTATGCAAGTGTACCTGACGAGGTGAGAAGCTGTGGTTGTTTGATTTGTTTGAGGTGGAGTTTTTATTATTAAATTGTGATATAGGAGTGAGGCACAGAGGAGGACAGTATAAACCAATTCATGCAGTCTACCCTGATTTAGCCTCCCTGGGTATCATTGGGACTTACAAGCTTTATGGTTATTAATGGGTTTTTTTTTATCTATATTTTGTTTTTAATTGTATAGGTATTTATTTCATCTTAGTAACACAGATCATTCATTTTTGCCAGTGCACCTGACGAGGTGAGAAGCTGTGGTTGTTTGAGTTATATTATAAGATATATTATTATTTATTAATGTCTTAGTTAATTTTAATTTTTTTTATTGATATCTATTCATACTCATACCCTTTGACCCTGCTACCATCCCTTTTTTTATAAAGAGTCACTTTCCCGCCTGCAGGGTTTCAAGTGTAATTTATCTAAGACTCGCTTATTGTAACTCATTTTTTTTCTCTTTCTGGTATTTTTAATACCTTCGATAGAACACTGTGGGATAGGAGACAGTTCTAATGAACAGAACTCCCCGCCTGAGATCGGAAAAAAGATTTTGCAGCAAGCTATTGTCTATCGGAGGATCCTATACTTATATGTATGTTATGATATCGATAAGCAAATATAGTTATAGAAACTTAAATTTAACCATGTTTTCCTACCTATCCCGTTTTGTATCACTGAAATGGTCCTAACCTATACGCAGTACATGTCCTATGATACAGACCCCCGTCTTGCGGTTGGCCTGCACAGGAAGGGATAACTAGAGATGTAACTTTATATTTTTATTGGTTGTGATGGTTTTAACACTAACAGTTCTTGTGAAACATAGTTGATAGCCCCCGCCTTGGGTTGGCATAAACTATGATATCATTGTAAGCTGAAAAGGGGCACAGAGGGGCAGACTCCAGACCTCCTGAAGTCTCAGTATGCACCAA